AAATACCAAGTTATTGATTGTCGGTGGAATTTTGAGAATAAGAGTTTGACAGCAGATCTCCAGGTTTTGAGGTCCTAAGAAGCTGTTCCGACTATTCCCGGCTGGACGTCCGGCCATGTGTATGTAAATAAAATTTTGCCGTAGGATATCTTTAGAACTAAACGAATCAACCGATCGAGATGAGCGACACGGCGTTCTAAAGTGTTCATTGAGACTTCGGTCTGATTAGATTTTAAAGTCAATCGCCAGAGCCCTTTCAAAGAAATTCAAAAAATAAAAACCAAAAATACATTTTTTTTAAGTTTTTTCTAAATAACTTTCTAAATATTTGACTAATCAACTCCAGACATCAGAGACACTTTTTGGACTTGGAAAACTAAGTCGAGTGCCGCCAAGCAAGTCAAAATCCAACGACAAGTTCAAAAATTCTAGCCATTAATAAATTTCTAAATACTCGTTTTTTTTTTTTAGATAATTTTTAAATTCTTCAATCCATCGACTCAAGACAAACAATTTTTGTATTTAAAAAATTACGTTGAATGCCGCCAAGCAAGTCAAAATCAAACGACGCGTTCAAAAATTCTAGCCCTTAAAAAATTTATGAATAAAATTTTTTGGAAAAATAACGGAAAGTTTCAGGGATAACCTGCTTTTTAAACTCATTATAAAAGAACAATTCAACACACAATTTGATATTATTGTTTCAACTTTTATTTACATAATTTTATTTTTTGTGGTAATTAACAAAGATTACAACAATTTTTGATCGCTTGCTTTGAGAAAAAAAAAAACCCTCGAGTTTGGTTTTAAATCAAGGATAAGCTTGAGAATTTAAGTGTGCGGATCACTATTTTTATTCAGGCACAAATATTGTTATTATTATTATTATTATTATTATTATTATTATTATTTACATTGTCTATTGTTGCTCAAAGGTCACTCAAAATTTTTTTTGACGACCTTTTGATAATTTATTTATTAAACAAAAATGTGTAAGTAAAAAAAAATATTATCTATGTAATTTTCTTATAAAACATTTTTATTTTGAGTCGGAAAATTTTCAATTTTTTCTTCATTAAAAAGTATGACCCAGTCAAAATTTGGAAAAATTTTAAACAAATAATCATTTAAAAATTTTTCTTAGTGAATAATATTAATTTTTTACCTTCATCTTACTAATTAATAAATATTAATCATAATTCAAATAAAATTATAAATTTGGTTTTATTAAAAGAAAAAAATTCAATTAAAAATCACTTTTTTTTTTTTATTAAAATGATAACAAAAATCGTAACAAAAATTTTGAGAATTTTAAATTCGAATAAAAAACCTGGCGGGTTAATAATAATCATAAATTAATATAAACAAATCGAGGGACTGACCGGATTAAATTTAAAAGTACTAAAATAAAATAATTATGACTTATCATCAGCACATCTATATATGTATATATATTAATAAAAAATAAAAAAATTACCAACTGTTTTTAATAATAGTTCAAGTGTTTCAATGAGTATACTCATACATATTTATTTATAGATCATAGATCATAAATAAACATATATATAAATCAATAAGTGTATGTATATTTTAAGTGGTTACGTGCATTAATATCCCCAGGCAAAATATCTTCGGAAAAAATTAAAATTTTTTTTAATTAAGTAAATAATTTTGAGTTTAGAGTAAGGTAAAAGCCCTAATTATTGACAGAGGTCTAAATATTGACACCCTAGATTATTTTTGAGTATATTTAATCATCTGTAATAAGAATAACTATCATATAAATTTTTATTAAATTTTAATTAATTAAAAAATTGAAAAAAATTACTGTTCAAAATATTAAATATTAATTATTAAAAAATAAAAGCACCAGATCAAACCTTACGAACGTTTATTTTCTTATCAACTTTGATTAGAAAAGCATTTTTTTTAAATACTGTTTAAATTAATTTCTTCGTCTAATTATATGATCTTTTTTTTTTTTAATTAACAATATATGAAAAATTTATAAAATTGAATAATCGAAATTAATTGTTTCCTTTATAATATTTAAATAATGGGTGTCAATAACTAGTTGATAATTTTTAAGTTGAATCTCATATTGACAGCCATTCGACAGCGTTATGACGCCTTTTTTTTTACTTCAACCTAAAAAATTTACTGCAAGAGTTTGAACTCTTCTGATTCAATAAATTATTTTTAAATTAATTTTTATATTTTTAAAAGTAATTAATCATTTATGGAAATTATTATTAATAAACTTTAATAATATTGATTACTTAATAATAAGTTTCGATAAATAAGAATAAGCAGATGATTCGACGCGTGCGCAGTATAGGTGTCAATAATTGGGGCTAAGGTATGTCAATAATTAGATCAATCAGTTTTTTAACCTGTCAAGCAGTGTATCCGGATACTCTATTTAATTATTTAAAATTAATTAGTAAATATCACTGCTTATCATTTTAAAAAATTTGATTAGTAAAAACATTATTCGAGACATTACCACAAATAAAATTCAACGATATTGATATTTGATTGCTTAAAAAAAATGAAATCATAAATTTGTCTCTTATAGTGACAATAATTGGGGCTTTTACCTTAAATCTTTTTTTTTTAGCATAAAAAATTTTTAAGCTAACTTTTTTTAATGGACGGCCATTTTGTCGGAGATATTTACGCACTTTACCATTTTAAGTACACAATTTTAAGTACTCGAAGCCTGTCTAAACAATAGTGTATTTTTGAATCTGCCGTTTACTGATAAATTGTTTAAAAAATCATTTTCTCTCTCTAACTCTTCTTTCTTTTAAAGAAACTTATTTACAAAATCTCCAATTAATTATTCATGGAATGTTAATATATTTATATATTTATATATTGTGCATTGCATATAAATATTACTGTGGTAATAACAATTATTTACTTAGTTAGTGAATTCTATTAACAAAGTGCAAATATATAGAAAACATTTTGGCTCAGTTAACGGCTGTCAATTTATAATTTATAATTTATAATTAAGATACCATTAAAATTATAATTAAAGTACACAATAATTAATAATTAAAAGATAAGTTTCTATAAATGCTATGCTTTAAATATGTTAATCCATTCTTTCGTATATACAATTGTCAAAAAAATAAAATTACTTTCTTTAGTTATTTTTTTAATTGACAAATTAAGTCATTCAATTTTTCTATGGGAATTTTTGTTTTTTTCAATTGTTTAACTATTTTTTGAGTAATTTGGATTTTTTGATCACCTTGAGATTCTAAGATTAATTTTTAGTTGATTGTTTAGACAAATTTTTTTTTAAATTATAAAAATAATTAAGCATAAAAATTTATCGAGTCAATTTTTTTAAATAATTAAATTTATTGAAAAAAATCAACTTTTCAAAATTTTAATTTTTAATCTATACTCAAATTTTAAAAATAAATTTTTTGTTTAGAAATTTTTTAAAAGTTTTATTAAAATAGATACATAATTAATAAATGACCTTGTATCTTGTGAACTATTGACATTCTTGAAGATATAAGCTCATCCCGATGTTACACTCATCAAGACCTTTCATTTGAGTACCCACACCAATTTTTCATATATTTTATATATTTATATATGTATATATATATATGAAAAATATATAAAAATGCATGTGGGTATTCAAATGAAAGCTCTTGATGAGTGTAACATCAAGATGAGTTTATATCTTTAAAAATATCAATAATTAAGAAATTAGCTTGTATCTTGTCAATTACTGAGATTTTTATGAATATAAGCTCATCTTGGTGTTACACTCATCAAGACCTTTCATTTGAATACCCACATCAATTTTTCATATATTTTATATATTTATAAATGTATATATATATATGAAAAATATATAAAAATGCATGTGGGTATTCAAATGAAAGCTCTTGATGAGTGTAACATCAAGATGAGTTTATATCTTTAAAAATATCAATAATTAAGAAATTAGCTTGTATCTTGTCAATTACTGAGATTTTTATGAATATAAGCTCATCTTGGTGTTACACTCATCAAGACCTTTCATTTGAATACCCACATCAATTTTTCTATATATTTCATATATTTATATATTTATATATATGTATATATGAAAAATATATCAATAATGCATGTGGGTACTTAAATGGAAGCTCTTGATGAGTGTAACATCGATATGAGTTTATTTTTTTTAAAAATATCAATAATTAAGAAAGTACAGTGCAATTTAACAAAAGTCATTGTTTAATAAAACAAAATTAAAAATTTATGAAAATTTTTGAATAATTAGACTTCTGAAAAATTGAGCAATTAAAATTTTTGGATAATTACAGAAAATTTATTAAAAAAAAAAATTTTGTAAAAATTAAAAAAATTAAATTTTTTGACTTTTTTGAAAAATCTCTTTAATTAATCAATTTTAATTTGTTCAATAACTTTTACTTAAAAATTGGTTTAAAAAGTCAAAATAATTTTCTTTTTTAATTAATATAAATAATTTATACAATCGACTAAATTGAATTACCAAAATAAATTTTCCCAACAATAAAAAATTGAATCGTTCAAGTTGAACAAAAAAAAAAATTGGCAATTAAAAATTCCAACAATTGAAAAAAATCCCTCTTCTTTCTTCCCGTCATTAACTTAATAAATTTTTTTAATACTCAATCTCTAAGTACACCAACAAGTACTATTCAAATAAAAATAACTAAAATTGAAACTATAAAAATAGTTTCAATAATTACTATTAAATAATAAAAAACAAAGTACGTCGAGCATCGCACAAATATAGTGCGCCTACTAAGACTAGGGAATTAATATTTTAATTAAATAGTATATTACTTAATAATTGGTGCGTAATGTGCAATCTACACATGTAATTAATAATTTGTCAGCATTATCAATTGGTAAGCACTAGTATTTAATTTCATTTAATTAATTTAAATCCACCAATTAAGCAACCGATTAATTAACAATAATTACCATAAGGATTGCTACAATTGCACCTGAAAGGTCTGCGATGGATTGGGAACAATAAAGGGATTTGTTGTGGTAGCGGTGCTTCCGGAAGATTTGGTAAGATCCGGAGCTGCTAATTCAGCCCATCCCGCGTCGAAAGGGTCCGTCGTTATTATCCCAGACCGGGTCGATATTGTGCTCGGCATTATTGATGATCCTAGCGAGTGGGCTCTGGCGTGAAGGAGCGGTGCTCGACGCGGTGGAATCGGAACTTTTGGAACTGATGGAACTGTAGAAATTATTCCAGAACCAGAGGATTGGGATGCTGCTGATACTAGTCCTGTTACTGTTCCCAGCCACTGCTCCGGTCGTGGTAACTCTGATATTCCACTTGTTGTTGCGCTGCTTGTACTTATCACTGACTGCGTCTGGAAGAAAAAAGATTTTTTTCAATTATTGGTATTTTAATGGAGTAATAGAATTTTCTATTAATAATGGAATTCTAAAAAATTAATAGGAAATTCCTTAAATATTAAAATTTAAATGGATTAATGGAATTTTCCATTAATAATGGGATTTTAATGGATTAATAGAATTTTCTATTAATAATGGAATTTTTAAGAATTAATGGAAAATTCCATTAAAATTGATATTTGAATGGATTAATGGAATTTTAAAAAATTAATGGAAAATTCCATTAAAATTGAAATTTAAATGGATTAAGAGAATATTATATTAATAATGGAATTTTAATGGATTAATAGAATTTTCTATTGATGATGGAATTCAAGAAATTAATGAAAAATTCCATTAAAATTGATACTTAAATGGATTAATGGAATTTTGATGGATTAATAGAATTTTCTATTAATAATGGAATTTTTAAAAATTTTAAGAATTTCCAATAATAATTGAGTTTTAATGGATTAATGGAATTTTCCATTAATAATAGAATATTAATGGAATTATTTTATAAACAATAAAATTCCAATGAATTGATAGATGATTTCTATTAATATTGGGATTTAAATTAGTTAATTAAATTTTCCATTAATAATGGAATTTTAATGGATTAATTTAATTTTCCATTAATAAAAGAATATTAATGGAATTTTGCTATAAATATTAGAATTTCAATAAATTAATGGATGGCATCCAATGATAGTGAAAATTTAACGGATTAATTTAATTTTCCATTAGTATTCGAGTTTTCATGAATTAATGGAATTTTCTATTAGTATTCGAGTTTTTATGAATTAATGGAATTTTACATTAATAATAGAATATGAATTGAATTTTCCATTAATAATAGAATATTAATGGAATTTTCCTATAAATAAAATTCCAATAAATTGATGGACGATTTTCATGAGTATTGAAATTTCAATGGACTAATGGAGTATTGGATTAATGGAAAATTTTCTATTGATAGTAGAATTTAAGATTAATGGAATATTAAATTAATAGAATTTTAACAGATCAAGTAACTTTTTTTTTTTTTTAGTAATAGAATTTAAATTGATTAACAAGATTTTTAAGACTTTTTTTTAAGAAAATTTTAGTTATAGAATAAGTATTATAATTTAGCAATTACGATTAATTGTAAATAAATTATCACAATTAATAAATTTTATCTTCTCTGTTGCAGCACAAGAATTATTCTGCTTTTATCTCCTTTTTGGTGAGTGATATTTAATAATTTATAAAATTTCACACAATAACCTCTTTTTAAAAATTTTCAAAAAAAAACATTTTTCAAACTAAATAAATTTTTTTTTTATAAAATAATTACAAACATCCAAGACCAAATTACATTTCTAGGAAAAAAAAAAAATAGCCAAATTTTGAAAATAGATTTTTTTTAAGTGGGTACTTTTTTAATTTGAAATATTACATAGATTAAAAAAAGTGATGCATTACCTCCATTCTGTCACTGGCAATAGAACTAGTCAAAGAATTATTAATCCCAAAAGACTGATGACTAGTCATGGAAGTATCAGTGGATCTATCAATGGCAGACTCGGTCGGACCTGCCGATGACACTGGGCGGGAAGATGTCTTGACAAGAACTGGGCTCAGGTTGCAACTGGTGTTGAGGATCGGCGTCAATCGTTGATGATTCGTTAAGGTAATTTGCGATGTCTCGTTCCAAGTTATGTCGTTAATAGCTACATCCATTGACTCGTCCTCATTAATATTGTTGATGTTGTTATTGTTGTTGTTATTGTTGATATTGTTGTTAATACTGGGCCCGTTTGAAAGTTTCATGTCATCTAGCGAATTACTGCTCGTAACTCCTGTAATAATAATAATAATAATAATAATAATAATAATAATAATAATAATAATCATTATTTTTATTATAATAAGCTTCAGTCAAGAGATATCAGCAAGATTGCAATATTTGGCAAGTTGGAAATAATTGAACTTACCTTGAGCTTGATTTGTATTGCCAAATAGATTTTTGGAGACAGAGTGCAGCGAGGACAAAGATGGAGGACCAAAGTCATCGTTGCTAGACAAAAGCGAGAGACCCTGCGAAAGTTGATGACACATTGCTGATATCTCGCTTCCTGTTGATGGTTGTACTTCTGGTATTGGACTTACTGGAAAGTTTTTTTTTTATTAGAAGTTTTGTTTTAGTAATTTACGGTAAAGAAAATTATAATTATTATAAAAAAATTATAAACAGTAGAGAAAAAGTTATAAGTAATTTTTAGGTCATAACAACAAAACAGTATTGTTATAGCAGAATATTTTAGTTAGTTCAATAAAATATTTAAGTTTAATGAACAAATCGATTTGTATAAATAACAAGATTGTTATGTCAGGATAACAGAAAATTTTGTTGGTGGTTCAACAGAAACCAGTTAGTTGGAATAACAAATGTTGTTGGTGAAATAGATAAATTATTTTTGAACAATAACTAATAATTTTGTTAGCTAAATTTTCAAAAAAACATTTTTCCAAGACAGCAACTAGATTTTCGAGCTCGAAGTTGTATTTTGAGCTTCAAGAGCTACAAACTTTGCAATAGAAAAATTTTTAAGCGTTTTAAACTTTAATATAACAGAAAGTTCCAGGGATAGCCTTTAGAGTGAACCATATCCAGGATTTTTAAATTGTTACAATAATAAACAAAATTGTAAATTGTAACTTTAATGGAAATTTTAGAGAAAAGCTTCTCAGAATTTCACAACTATTTTTGCCAACAAAATCACTTTGTTACAGCAACAAAATTATTTTGTTACAACAAAATGACCAGAGTAACATTTAATAAATCGTCTAATAAATAATTTATTAACTTAATAAATATTAATTAAAAAATCATTTATTAAGTTAATAATTATTAAATATAAACAAATCCTTCTATCAGTGTCTATTTTTTTTCTAAATTTTTTTCATGCAGAAAAAATTTAATCAAAACATCTAATAAAAAAAAAATTACCAGGCGGCTTGATCCCAATGATCCCATGAGGCAAAGTCCCACCAAGGCTAGTAGGAAGCCTGGAAAAATCAGTGGGTTCAAGACTGTGACTCCGTGTGCGTTCCAAATTGCTGGGAAGCTCATTGACCCTGAGACTGTGCTGCCTCTTGAAGGGTGAGGCTTGGTTCAGCTGAGTGAACCCGCGAAAAGAGCCCTGTCTCTCGAGCATCGAGGGTGTGGCATGAGGTCTCTCAATCGCAAACGGGTTGTATACCTGCTTAGCGACTGCTGACGTCGGTGTTGACGGGACATCTTTGCAATCAAGTAAATAGTCAGTCATTTAAATAAATAATACAGTAATCTAATGTAATGATAATTACGTAATTAATTACACTACATCTCTAATGATTAATGATGAAGATTAATGAGGTACTTACCAACCGCTCGTTCTCTGCTATCTTGTAATTTTTCCGTCAAACTCGGCTGTCGAAAACTTCCGCTTCGCGTAAACGTTGACGTCTTTGAGTCAAACGTCATCGTGACCCCGCATTCCTTGTCGCGGCGTTGCTTCCGTTCCAGGCAAGCCGCAAATGCGCAGCCCACTGCGTGGCTTAATCTTTCACCCTGAAAATTAGATTATAGATTAGATTTATTTTAATTTATAATTAAGTTTGGATTTTAAATAAATAACATAAAAAAATGTTATTTAGCTTTGGAATGGTTTTGTTAAAAGGTCTCTTATAATTTTTTCAAAAAGGTACACGGAAAAAAGTAAACTGTAATAAATAACAGTCGATTTATAATAAGTAATGATTAACTGCTAAAAATTACGATTTCAAACAGTAAAATCGTGATTTTACTATTCACTTTATAATATTTACCATTTAAACGTTACAATTTATTCTTTACATGGAAGAAAATACTATTTCAAACAGTAATATTCGCTATGTAAATGTTTAAAATGTTTAAGTATAATAATTAACAATTCAGACTTTGATATTTATCATTTGGTATCTAAAAAATGATCTTATGATATGTAAAAAGTATAAAATAAAGTTAGTAAATTTCTAATACAAGCAACGTCAATATTTACAAAGTAAAATGGTAAATTTTAAACACAACGCTAAAAATCAAACTGTAATTAAGGACTTGCTTGGACTGGTAAAATGTATATTTTAAAAGTATAATTTTTACTGTTTCAAATGTTAAATTCTCCCAGAGTGAGACCCCCTTCTCTTTCATCTGAGTTCCCCTTCTCCTCATAATATGGACTATATATTGAAATGGCAATTTTTACTGTTTGAAACTGTAATTTTTTAAGATGAAAGAGTCGTTATTTACTATAGTGACAGCTACTAATCACTTATTTTAGATATTAAATTATAAATTTTGGCTTTGATACTTTCTACATTAAGTTCTGTAATATTTATATTTTTGCCATCCCGATGTCCGCTTTACTGTTTGAAACTATAAAAATTAACTGGAATCCGAGTAAATAGTATAGTTTACTTTTTTCCGTGCAGTAGTTGAACAGGTTTTAAAGTAAAAACGTATTTGACCCTACTTTTAATATATAAAGATGTAATTATTAGTTCAAATTAGTGATTTTCATGAAAATATAAACAATTTTGAATTGATTAGCTAAGTAACAAAGATAATTTAATATTTATATTTTGACAACGGTTTTAAGATAGACTAAAGGAGTAGTAGTTGAACAATCAATTCTGACAAGCCGTAGTTGAACACTCCGGGAGCAGTTGAACTAATAAAATATATGGCAATAGGCACACCAAAAATTTTCAATGTTTTATTGAAATATCTAAAGAATTATAACATGTTATTGATTAATATTAAAAATAATACTGTGAATACTTAATATGTTCATTTAAAAATGAGAAACATTTGTATTTAATTTTTTAATTACATTTTTTATGAATGACAAAGCAAACAATGCTGATCACTAGTCTATAAACCTATTAGAGATTAGAGCGCTGTTAAAATTATACGGCCCCAGCTTGTTCAAGTTCTGGGTACCGCTTTTAAAATTCGGAGGTATAGTTAGACGCTAAAATTTAATATAAAAATTATAGTTTAAGTCTTTGCAAAAAAATATATATTATTTAGAAAAGACTATTTCATTGGGTGCTATAATTTTTTTACTTAAAATGATATACCGTTTTTTTTTACTGATTGTTCGGTTTACGGTTTATTACTTTTTTCATGAAAAAAATAGCATCTATCGGCTATTCTCTTTATGTAAACTTTTAAGTTAACAAAAATATAATTGTTTTGATTTATAATTGAAAAAACTTACTGAAGTAAATTACTGTATCATTGAATAATTATAACATGCGCATATTACTCATAATAAATATACGGATTTTGTATTACAACAATTTGAAAAGTCTGTTCAAGTACTGATCCCATTTTTGTTAATGTTCAAGTACTGGGTACTTTACCTTATTTTTATAATTCATAATTCTAGAAATTAAAATAATGATAATAAATAATTACCGATTCCTTAAGCGCCAAAAAGCCATGGCACATCCACCTTCTCGTAGTACCATCGCGACAAATATAACTAAACCCTTTGTCATGGTTACGATCCGGTGCGCAAAAAGATACTTTTTCAATCGTTTGGTCAACGATCAACCCCTTGGTCTCGTCTTCGACGACTCTTAACCCGTCTCCAGATACGTGTAATATTGCTCTTACTGGTCTTCTTCTCGAATTCTGTAAAATTATTGATTAGTAATACTAATAAATCAATAGAACACTTCTTGGATAAATAACTGAGCATTAGAGCCAAGAAAGTTAGTTAATTGTAATGTAAATTACCCTTAATACTTTGAGTGCTTCCTCGCAAACTTGCATCCCCCTTGATTCGAATACTTCCACGCATCCTAAGTACTGAAATACCAAACATTTAATTAGGAAAATTAAATTATCTATATTATTAAGAGAATACTCTATCTCTAGGTTCATAATTAAGAAATGACCTTGTATCTTGTGAAATATTTACATTTTTTAAGATATAAGCTCATTCCGACATTACTCTCATCGAGACCTTTCATTTGAGTACCCACATCAATTTTTCATATATTTATATATATATATATATCATATATATGTATATATGAAAAATATATCAAAAATGCATGTGGGTACTCAAATGAAAGCTCTCGATGAGTGTAACATCGGGATGAGCTTATATTTTTAAAATATATATTATATATATGTATATATGAAAAATATATGAAATATTCATGTGGGTACTCAAATGAAAGCTCTTGATGAGTGTAACATCAGGATGAGCTTATTTCTTTAAAAATATCAATAATTAAGAAAGTACAGTGCAATTTAACAAAAGTAATTATTTAATAAATTGTTTTTTTTTTTTTACTTTCTAATTAAGGATTTATCAACAAAGAAATTTTTATGAAAATTTCGTTGAATAATTGTCATTTTTTTTTAAATATTATTAATATCTCCAAATTTAAATTTGAGATAAATTATTTAATAATTTTGCATTCGAAACTTGTTGAAATTTATGTATAAAAATTCGATTTCTTTACTTTCAATTTTTAACTATATAGTTTTATAAATAATTTATCCGCCATTTTGTAAAATAAAAATTCTTTTTCTCTTTTAAATTAATCTTTCAACCAAAACTTCAGACCTGGTCTTAAAAATTGACTAATTTTTCGTGTTAAAAAAATTTTTCTATTTTTTTTTTCTCGACTTAAATTTTATAAAAAAATTTCTTTTAAATAAAAAAAGAAAAATATTATTATTTACCTTAACATGAAAGGCACACGTTGCAGAACGCACAGCACTTTCATCCGCCTGCCATTGATGTGGTTTACTAGATTCCGGGATATGAGTGTCTTTCCTCCTTCTGAAACTGTCACGAAAGCTTCTCCTTAGACGATCCATTCGTCTGCTGTTAGTGTTAGCTGGCGAGGATCTTTCTCTCTTCTACAATAAATAAATAAATAAATAAATAATAACATTCAACAAAAATATCTTCAGAAAAATTTTAAAGTTCAATTTATCTCTTACAAAAATCTCTTATAAATATAAAAATAACAATGTCGCGCTTATTGTTGGACAAACTATCCGTTGAATATTGCATATTTGATAGTCGTGTAAAAAAGTAATTTTTTAACCAGTACCTATCAGTACAATGTACAATATAAGTTAAGTTAACTTAAGAATGGAGTAATGCACTAGAGTATAGCATGCAGTTGAGTTAAATCCTTTCACTTGGTGTGTCAAGGCGTGCGACAGGTGTACTATGCATGTGAGAAAGCTAGTACAATATTGCAAACCCAATATTGTTATTGTTATTATTTATGAGTGGATAAATATATAAATATATAAATATATAAATGAAAGATTGCTTTTAATAGTGTGGGTAAACAAAACTAACCGGCTCTGCAGCATCGGAATTTTATTATATTGTTCAAGAGCTGACTCAGTTTTTTATATTTTGTTAGGTTTATATTTGTCATTGTTTAGTCTTTTTAAGTAAGTTAAGTAATTATCTTTAAAGACATAATTAAGTTGTTAATTATTTTGTTGCAAAAAAAAAATTTTATTGAAGTTTTTGTTATAAAATTTTTTTATTGAGAAAAATTATTATTATTAGGAAATAAAAATCTAGCTAGTTAAAATTGTAAATGCGAAAATTCAAAATTTTGGGTCAAATATTGAAGATACGAAAAATATTATATCCAAATTTTTTTTATTAGAAAATTTGATTTTTTATAAAAAAGTTTTTTATCAATTTTGCTCTATCTATCATCTTTTCTCAAAAATTTGAATTTTAAGTCAAAAAATAAAATTATAGAACTTATCACAAAAAAGTGTTAAATATTAAATATAACACAAAATTTTTTGACCCAAAATTTTTTATTGTGTAGTTTTCAAAAGTAAAATGCTAATTTTGGCTCAAATAATGAAAATAAAAAAATGATATCAGGCCTTTTTTATAGAGAATTTTATTTTCTACAAAAAAGATCCTTGCCAATTGCCAATTTTTCCTTATTTATTATTCTTTATTCAAAATTTGAATTTAAAGGTCAAAAATAAAGTTGTAGAATTTATCCGTAGTTTTTAAAAGTTTAAAATACTAATTTTGGATAAAGTATTGAAAATACAAAAAATATATCTTATTTATTTGTTTATTATTTAATTTCAATGCCAAGGAAGTATAGCCAAATGGCAAAAGTATATAAAAAAAAAAATTATAATAAAGTATACGAAAGAATAATGAAGATATAAAATTTGAAAATTTTAAATATTAAGAAAAATCATTTTTCTTAAATTTGGAATGTAGTTATGATAAATACAAGAAAGTATAAATTTGAATATAAAAATTAAAGAGTTAAAGAGTGGCCTTTATTGGTCAGATTATATCTGACCTTTTGTATAGAGAATTTTATTTTCTAAAAAAAAGCTTCTTAAAGCTTGAAAAAGAAAATAATTTTTTTTCAGTGTGTAAATATGATCATTTTTTAAGAAGTTTTTAAATTTGTTTTTAATTTACAAGAATTGATGGTTAAAAACTTTCCCTCTTTGAAGATAACTCTTTTTTTTTATAAAGTAACAATAGTTATCAACCGAAGATAACTTTTTTTCAAAAACAGTAAAGAAAAAATTTTTTTTAGCGCGAAAATTTGAACAATTCTTTTGGAATAAGATTGTGCAAACTTGGACTCTTTTATAGAAAAAAATGATATGAAAGATCATTTTTTTAGAGACAAAAATTTGTTAGGAACATAAAAAAATCAAAATTTAATTTTAAAAAAATTTTTTAAGAATTTGGCAGGAATTATAAATAATTTCCAATTATTTTTATTATTAAAACAATAAAATAGCGATAATAAATAATTTTACAGTAATGATTTTAAGTATAGAAGGTACAAAAAATTTAGAATAAGTATTTTGAAATATTTAACAGGTTTATTTTAGAAAAAAAAAAAAACAATAAATAATAATGAGTAGGCTGATCCATTACGAAGGATGACTAATGACTGATCCGTTAGAATCATTAAAAACTAATTAGAATATTCGAGAAAAATATTGAAAATATAGACCTTGAAAAATATTAAAATTTTGTATTTTATAATTTTTTATTGGCAATTAATATTTATGTTTTTGGAAAAATCAAGTTTGAATTAATTTCGATATAAAGTAGTAAAATTATTTTTAAATATTATTTAAAATAAACAGTCAAAATTAGTCACTCAAATTTTTCATTAAAAACAATAAACAATTTTTATTTTTAATTTTTTTACTTACAAAAAAATGTCAATAAAAATTATTCGTTTAAAAAAAATTTTTTCAAAATTATAATTTAAAATAAAAATAAATTAAATGTCAAAAAAAAAAAAAAACATACCGAAAACCTGAGAGCGTTTCCGCTATAACTAGTCGCTCTTTCGAGCGGCTGATGAGCCGAAGGATGATTCCCCATTTTGAAACAAAAATTACCTTACTATCTAAACGTGTAAGATTTAAACAAAGATTAACAACAATAAACTCGCGTCAGTATCACCAAAAGTCGAGCCCACACGGAACATTCACCCTAAGTCCTCAGTCCTATCGTTCTCATCACTTATATTATGTTTTCACCTCGTTTAGTACGAGCATTCTTCACTCTGTTTCCATCTCTCCATTTCTCTATTTAATTCTTCATAGTCTCTCTTCCATTTTTTCCTTTTTTCCCAAAAAAAAGTCCCTTAATTCCCAAAAAACAATTTTAAAATCCAATAAATTAAATCCAATTCGCTTGCAAACAAAATCAACAGCCTGAGTTCACTTTAAGATTACACAGCAACATCAACAATAATAATAACAGTAATAATAATTATCTACGTAACTTAAGTACTGTTACTTTAAACCTTTGGGTCTCTACCTGACCGACAGGCCTCTCACTTTAACACTTAAACTCTCTTTGATTTCTCTCCGAGTAATTAAAACTCTAAAATTATTTTAAATTTAAATTTAAATTTCTGGTTCCCGCTTGCTCGCTTACTTGCTTGCAAACCAATTTTCGATAAAAACTCTACTCCTCGAGAGCAAGAAATTTACGTCACTTATGCTACACCGCGACTGATTATTCAGTCCACGGTCATTTAATATTAAAAAAACCTCAGGTTTAGTCAACCGCGATACAATCGTGTCCACTATGTATACATACATACATACAGATATATATTCACATATATTACGTATTCATCGATGTATGTACGTGGTAAGTTGTCGTACAAGTCCAGTCATCGTTAAAATATATCCACTCTCTTTTTTAAAAACTTATTCTTCCTTTCAAACACTTCTTTTCATTCTCCTATCTGGAAGATTATTTACTTTTAGTAAGTTAATTCAATAGTTAATAATCTTTTTTTTTTTATTAATTAATTTTATTATACAGGAAAAAATTATTTTGGGATCATTTTTGTTGTTATTTACTTTTCTTCTTAATTTATTATTATCATGATTATTTGTAAAAAATCAAGTCAATTTTTATTTATGAAAAAGAATTTTTTTTATTTTTATTAATTAATTTTGATTTTTTTTATTGTTCAGGAAAAAATTATTTTGAATTAATTTTTGGTATTATTAAATTTATTATTATTATGATTATTATCATAATTATTTGTATAAAATCATGTCAATTTTTATTTGTATAAATTTTTATTTATAAAAAAAAAACATTTTTTTTATTTTGGTTATTTTTATTAATTAATTTTGATTTTTTTTATTGTCCAGAAAAAAATTATTTTGGGATAATTTTTGTAGTTATTAAATTTTCTTCTTAATTTATTATTATCATGATTATTTGTAAAAAATCAAGTCAATTTTTATTTATATAAATTTTTATTTATAAAGAAAAATTTTTTTTATTTTTATTAATTAATTTTGATTTTTTTTATTGTTCAGGAATAAATTATTTTGAAGTAATTTTTGGTATTATTAAATTATTTTTTAAATTTATTATTATTATGATTATTATCATAATTATTTGTAGAAAATTAAATCAATTTTTACTTATATAAAAATTAAAAAAAATTTTTTTTTATTTTGCTTATTTTAATGAATTAATTTTGATTTTTTTTATTATCAGAATTATTATTATTATGATTATTATCGGAATTATTTGTAACAATTCAAGTCAATTTTTACTTATATAAAAATAAAAGAAAATTTTTTACTTTGGTTATTTTAATTAATTTATTTTGATTTTTTTTTATTGTTCAAGAAAAAAATTATTTTGGAGTAATTTTTGTTATTATTATTATTATGATTATTATTATCATAATTATTTGTAAAAAATCAAGTCAATTTTTATTTATATAAATTTTTATTTATAAAGAAAAATTTTTTTTATTTTTATTAATTAATTTTGATTTTTTTTATTGTTCAGGAAAAAATTATTTTGAATTAATTTTTGGTATTATTAAATTTATTATTATTATGATTATTATCATAATTATTTGTAGAAAATTAAATCAATTTTTACTTATATAAAAATTAAAAAAAATTTTTTTTTATTTTGCTTATTTTAATGAATTAATTTTGATTTTTTTTATTATCAGAATTATTATTATTATGATTATTATCGGAATTATTTGTAACAATTCAAGTCAATTTTTACTTATATAAAAATAAAAGAAAATTTTTTACTTTGGTTATTTTAATTAATTTATTTTGATTTTTTTTTATTGTTCAAGAAAAAAATTATTTTGGAGTAATTTTTGTTATTATTATTATTATGATTATTATTATCATAATTATTTGTAAAAAATCAAGTCAATTTTTGGTCATAAAAATAAAAAAAAATATATTGGAATTTTTCTAAAATTTTTTATACCAAAAAAAAATCTTATATTAATTTTAAAAACCCTTAAATATATTTTTCTTATAAAGAAATAAGAAAAAATTCACTCTAAATTTTTTTTTAACATTAATAAAATTCTTGGAGTAATTTATATTCCATAAAGAATTATTTAAAATTCATCTCCGCAAATTTTTTACAGCTTTTGTTCAAAGTAATCAATATTATTCTATTTATAGATAATTAATGTACATACATGTCTTTTATAAATTATGAACAATCATTGTCAATACTATTAAAAATAATTATTTAAAAAAATATTAATAAATTTTGATTTTATTTCTACTTAAAAAATTTTTATAATAAAAATAATAATTAAAAAAAACTCCAAAATAATTTATAAATCTTCCAATTAATTTAATAACAATAATGTCTATTATTTTATACTGTCAATAATTAAAATTAAAATAATAAATAACATTAATTAAAAACTAACAAAAATATTTATAAATAATGAATTAAAATTAAAAATCATAAAATTTTATTCATAAAAAAATTATTACTTAAATAATCTCAGCTTTAATAATTAAAAAAAAAATCCTTATTAATAACAACAACAATAATTAATAAAAAAAAACTGATTATTAACTATTGAAATAAAAATAAATAGCAAACTGTGTGACTATTGTGTTTAAAAATATTCCCACGTTTTTTGTCCGTTAATATTTCTCATACCTTAACACACATTACACACCCTTACACTTAATATATATACATATATATAACACCGTTGCCGTTACACTCAACTACATCCTGTGACCTCATCGAAATTCAACGTACATTTATTAATTTATTAATATCAACATTTAAAACCAACTTTTATCACACTAGCTTATAGAATTAATTTTTCCACAAAAAAAATAACTAATTAGTTAAATTAATTTTTAAAAAAATTAGTTAAAATTGAAGACCCGAAACCGGACGCGAACTTGGAGCTTCTTTAAGCGACGTATTAAAAATTGAGAAGGATCCAAAGCTTGAGGATTGAAAATTACGAATTAATTATTAGCGAAATTAATTAAAATTAATTAAAAGGACTAACTTGGAGGGGGGTAATGTTTAACCGGAGAAGTTTAAGCTTGGGAATTAGGGATAAGGTTGGGACGACACTGATCCTTTTGGTCTCTGGTCACATGGTGCAGTTTAACGTAGCATCGGACTGGATGGAGCTGGGAGTTGAGTCGAGCTCAGGGAGGGGAATATAAAAACCAGCTGCCACGGCAAATGGTTTTACATCTGTCATTATTGTAAGAGTATGCTGTGAGTTTGTACTTGCTGGATGTGGTAGTGTGCATGTATTTTAATGTTAGGTGTATGTATTGTACAGAGAAGAGACCTGGTATAAGTACCTCTGCCTCTTACTCACCTCTCCTGTTATGTCTGCAGAAGTTAAAAGTAATGTATATAAGGTAGAAGTTGACACAATGAATCTTTCAGATGTAATGTGTTTTAAGGAGGGTGAGACTTTCTTTGTACCTTGGTGTTTATTTTATTTATGCACCAATTATTATGGGATTTTTTTACTTAGCTACTTTGAGGTCGGAATTAATTTTTAGGCAAAAATTAATTTTTTTTAGGCTTGGAGAATTTAATGGGGTATTGGAGCGAAAGTTATGAAAGTTGATGGAAAATTTTGGTGTAAAAAATTATTGAAAATTATCTGGCTGGGTCTGATGTTTAAAGAGTTTATTTTAGTATAAGAATTTATAGAGAATTTTTTTTTTAATTTGAAATTTTATAGAAGAAATTAGATTTGAAGATTCTGTTGAAATTTATTATTATTAAATTATTTAATCTTATATTATTAAATTAAAAATGATTTTTGAGAATTTTTTTTTAATTCTTTATTAATTTTTTTAGTTCAAATATTTTGTTTAAAAATAAAATTCTCATTTTTGATCATCAAGGAATTTATAGAAAAATATATTTAGAGTTAGGAATATTTTTCAAAAATTATTATTTAATAAAAATTAAATTTTTATTTCAATTCTAAAATTGAAGTTTTAAAAAAAATTTTTTTAAAGAAATTTTCTCGATTGAAAAAATACAAAATTTTGAAGGAAATTAATGTCCCAGTGACATCTATGATCTCAGGATCAAAGCATGTTACATTCTAACTGAAAAGGTGACAGATGTTTTTTTTTTTCTTTCAAATCAAGAGACACGGTAGTGTCTGTGCCAAGGACACGCTTTTACACCTGTGTGTCAATGAGAGTACTCAGTCTTTTATTAATATGTAAGATTTTTTTTTAATTTGCGATAAATTGGAAACTATTTAAGACATATATATGTACTGTAGATAAAAAAAATTGATAAAAATTTCCTGAGGAGTAACTAAAGATTAAAATCATCAAAAATTAAAACAATTTGAATTGATTAAAAAAATTAAATGTTGAGTGAAAATATAGGAACACATTTGTCCTTAAGTAGCACTAAGAAATACATATTTTTTATTAATTCTAACTCAAGAATCTATATTATCAAAAGATTAAGAAAAGTTTTGTGTCCAGGATAGTCATATGATAGAATCAGTTTTTTGTAGTGAAATTTAGTGTTATTGCAAAGGTCTTGATTTGAATTTGTGCCTTTTCAAGGTTTCATATCATTCTCACCGATAGTCAATTTATTATGATAAGTATTTAGGCTACATTCAAAAATGTTCTATCTCCAGATATGTAATTAAGAAATTTCCTTGTATCTTGTGAATTAGTGACAATTTTAAAGATATAAGCTCATCCCGATGTTACACTCATCGAGACCTTTCATTTGAGTACCAACATCAATTTTTCATATATTTTATATATTTATATATATGTATATATGAAAAATATATAAAAATGCTTGTGGGTATTCAAATGAAAGCTCTTTATGAGTGTAATATCAAGATGAGCTTATACATTCAAAAATGTCAATAATTAAGAAATGACATTGACATATTTCAAGATATAAGCTCACCCCGAGATTACACTCATTGAGACCTTTCATTTGAGTACCCACATCAATTTTTCATATTATATATTTATATATATTATATATATGTATATATGAAAAATATATCAAAAATGCATGTGGGTATTCAAATGAAAGCTCTTGATGATTGTAATATTGGAATGAGCTTATATTTGTAAAAATTGTCAATATTTAAGAAAGTACAGTGCAATTTAACAAAATTCATTATTTAATAAAGCAAAATTTTATTTATTTATAATTCACAAGTCACAGCAGTCACGTAGTGACTGCAAGGTTATTAGTAATAAATTAATTAAGAATATTAAATAATTTTACAAAAATCTTGACCCAAATTTTATAAGGCTTGTACTTTAAAATTTTTTAACAGAATTTATAAAATTTTGAAATTTAATAGATTTTTTTTTTTTAATTAAAAATAAAACTTTACTTGCCGCAGGAGTAATTTAAAAGTTTTCTTGAATATTCTCCGTGAAAAATACATTTCTAATAAATTTATTAGCGGCCTTAAAAGAAACTAAAGTCAATTGATTTATTAAAAAAATAAATAAAAAAATACTAAATTACCCGAACATCCGCTGAAAGAAATATATAATTCACCTTCATTGTTAAAATAACATCATTAATATGCAAATACTGCATCAATCAAGTAGTCATATGAATAAAACTTGAGTAAATATTTAACACCCGATAAAACTCAGTGACATTTGATTTTATTCAAATAAAATCAACGCTCAGTACAGACTTGAAAAATAAACTTGGCTGTTTAAAATGAAGTTAAAAATCGTTATAGTTTTGACATTCGCGCTTACAATTGATCCAAGTTACCAACTAGGATTAAACCCCCTTGAAAGTGTCCAACAAAAGTTAGACGCGACGATAGACGCCGCAAAGATTCAACTTGACGATAATTTAACGGCGGCGAGGAGAAAAATCGATCAGGTTGCGGCTGGATTAAAAGAAACCGCGGAATCTGCTGGGCAGGTTGTTTACGATCAAATCCGCGGGTTTATCGATAAGGTAATAATTAATCAAAGTAATTATTATAATCATATTTTAAAAAATTATTGTTAATAAATAAAAATCTTGTTTATTTATTAAAATTTTAAATGGTCAAATTTTAATTCAAAATTCTGGGTCAAATATTAAAAATATCCTCTATCTTTCATTTTCTCTCCAAAATTTAAATTTAAAGTCAAAAAATGAAATTATAAAATTTATCCCTAGTTTTCAAAAGTTTAGAATGCTAATTTTGGCTAAAATATTGAAAATAAAAAAAAGGTATCGGAATTTTTTGATAGAGGATTTAATTTTCTATAAAAAAAAGTTTCTTATCAATTTTGCTCTATATCTTATCCTTTTTCCAAAATTTAAATTTAAAGTCAAAAAGTTTGGAAAATCCAAAAGTGCACGCCTCATAACGCTCATTCATTTTTTATAAAAAAAATTAATTGTGTAATTAATTTAAAAAAAAAAAATTATAATTAAGTAATTTCTTACAGAGTATTTTTTTTTTTAAATATCGGCGCCCTTTTTTCTTGTCATAGGCGCAATTTTCAAATGTTTAAGGACATCCAAGTATACCTTCCTAGTATAAAGACTGTCTATAAATAAATAATACGTAGAAATAATTTTGTTATGCATCTTAAAATTAATTAATAACATTTTTGACCAATAATTTTGAAAATAAATTTAAATAAAATTTATTAAGTAAATAAATAATAATTTTTGAATGATTTTGATTATATAATTAGTTTGACGATCAATTAAAAGAGCTCGAAAAATCTTCAGGCCAAATTGACGTCTCAGATTGTATGGCACTAGCAAGCCCCAAGGATGCGATAGCACTAGGGGCGATGATGAACGTGAGCACTTGTATTATTGACCAGCTCGAACTTGGAGATGGAATCCCTGAGAGCGTTTTCAAAGTTACAGGGGAGGTTCGTGAAAATCTAACGAGTGTCCAACAAGAATCTCAAAAGTGTTTTCAAGACGTAGGATTTACCGCTGTTCTTAAAGCCACTGCATGCGCTGCTAAAGTAATTTTTATTTTTATTGAACGCGAATTTATTTTTGCGAGAAATTAAATATTTACAAAATTAATAGATGACTGCAAAAGCAACCTGGATAACAGCAAACAGTGTACCTGTGATATTAACAACTACTGTTAGCTTGACCAATCAGATGGAGAAGCTGCCAATAAATGTTCCCTCTTGTGCTGTAAACAGCGGAATTGAAAAACTGCCAATGAAATATGCCGAGCTTTATGCTCAAGTTAAACAGTGCATTGATAGAAAAACCTCCCAAGCGTAGTTGATTGTCCACGGAAATAAATTTTCAGGAAAAATTACATTAATAGTGATGTAAAATTTACAATATTATATTTACAAAAACAATTTTTAAATTTACAGGTGTAAGAATGTAAAAATTACATAATTAAAAAAAATTAGCAACCTTGCAGTCACTACGTGACTGCCGTGACTTGTGAATTACAATTAAATAAAATTTTGCTTTATTAGATTATGACTTTTGTAAAATTGCACTGTACTTCCTTAAATATTGACGGTCTTAAAGATATAAGCTCATCCCGATGTTACACTCGTCGAGAGCTTTCATTTGAGTACCCACATGCATTTTTGATATATTTTTCATATATACATACATATAATAATCATTATTAATCATTCTATATTCTGTCAATTTCTCAGTATTTGAAATGATTTATAATGATTAATTGTGAAATTTCTAAAATGATTTACATGATTTGGTATGATTAAAAATGATTAAAAAATTAATCTTTTTTAATCATTTCAAATCATTTTGTTTAATCAGGGTGTATTTGTTTTTCAGTAATTATATTTATAACGTCACAAGTTTTTCAACAGTTGAAAAAAGACTATGTATCTGGTACAGTTCGGGCAAACGTTCATGCCATCTTTGACAACTTTAGAGATAGACGAGTATATTGAGGTAGACAATGAGGTAGCTGTATGCTCGTCAATGAGTGCTGCATTTATCAATATTTTTTTTTAATTAATTAATTACTATTTTTACATAAAAATTGGTTTTAATGGAATATATTGTAGATTTTCAAATTTTTGAAGGGACAAACACGATAACTTTTGAAAAAATAAATTTTTCAACTCAATTTATTTTTTAATCTCTCTATCTGCCTAATAAGAAGTGAAGGATTGAAAATTGCAGCTTAATATTGTTTTGTTTAATTATAATTAATTTTTGTTCGGCTGGCGGAGAAATTTTCTGTCCTTTAAGCCATATAGAAAAATTTATTTGTAAATAGAGCTTTAAGACAGCTGATACTATACTCAATTGTGTTCTTTGACTGACCGAAGGTCAGTCTTTAATTGGTCCTTTTTTATGATTCACATCGGAACGAAAGAGGGCGTTCAATTCATATAAAAACAAATACTATCCGCGGGAAAATTGAAACAAGCTTTAAAATTGAATTTTAAATAAAATTCCTTGTAATTAATTTATTAAAATTATTTTTTTATCGTTTGATTAAAAAATTCAATTTATTTTAGATAAATTTTTTGTAAAATAAAAATTGCCGCTAAATAAAAAAAAAAAACAAATTTAAGTTCAACGGCCGGTCTACGACCGAGTGACCCTGAGTAAGGTCGCAATAAAAATAAAGGCCATTGAATAAACTTTAATCGATTAGAACAAACATGAATGCCTAGAAATAAATTACACCGTTACGTGTATGTATATATTTATTCTTTACTCTACTCGCGTCGGGATTTTATTGACTGAAGGCCGTCGCGATGCGGGCTCGTCAATGTCAACGCAAGCTACAATAAAATAAATAAAAAAATTTCCAAACAAAAAAAGAACTTACATTCAGCTGCATTGAGATTTTATTGCAAGCCCAGAGCCAGCGCTCCCGGGGAGTCATCTTTTGACGCTCTTTCAGTTGCGTCGGCACAGGGGGCGCCCCCACTAGGTCCAGCATAACTTCATCGGCTGGTGGTTCCGGGGGACTCCGCGGCGGAGTGTCCATCTGCACGCTCTCATCGGGCGACGCCTGCTTCGTGACACCCTCAGCTGAAAAGATCAGTCAAGTGAGCTTTGAAGTCTTGAGTTTAGGGTTGGACGTTAGAAAATTATTGAAGAGGTTAGAAAATTACCTCGTGGACTCGTTGATCTAGACAGTGGTGGTGTAACTTTGTAGGGCTCGACCAGAGAATTTTCTCTTGAACCACGAGTTAAGGCTTCTTCACCTTTTTCGTATCTGGAATTATAAGAGAAGATTTTTAATATTCATTAAAATTCATTAATATTCTATAATATTTTTTAATATTCTTTTATATTTTTTAATATTCATTATTATTCTTCAGTATTCTTTTTATTTATCGCTGAAATATCGACAGCTTATGGAAACATAGATCAGATTAATATGATTCCTAAAGAAGAATTATGAGCAATTTCTAAGTCAATTTTATCATAAAAATGAATAAAATAGAGAAATTTGCATGAAATTTATCTAAAAATAGTTTCAAACGACGGTCAACTTTCATAAAATCAGCAAAAAGTATTAAAAAGTGAAAGATGGTCAGTTAAGGGGAAAAAATAAAGGTTGTAATAAATTTGGATAATTTTGGGTTTTTTAGAATTTTGATTCTTTGAATTTTTCGGTGAAGTTTGGAGTCATTTAAATTGAAGTTTTGAATAGTTAAAATTTTTTAAAGGGATGTTCCGGTCTAGAAATTAGAAAAAATTCAAAAAAGTGGTACAATAATTCATTGTTTTTTCAGGTAGTTGCCATTTTGTGAAAATAATTTTTTTTTTTCAACTTTTTTTTAGTTAGTAAGCCGGCGGCATTACTCTGAAATAATAATCTTTTTTTTCCAGATTGCTAGGAGGTTTGAAATCTGGATATGGTTGCGTACCATTTTTTAAAACCCTGCTTTATTAGCAGCTAACTTTTTGAATTTTTTTTCTGTGTTCTTGAAATATTAATAAATCTCTTATAAAAAAATGAATCGTAAAAATATATTGATTGTCTTTTTTTACACTTCAATAATTACCTGAAAATCAAGCTTCTAGACTAAAATACCCCATTAAAGTGCAAGTTGTTCGATTTTTTCAAAAATTAGCTATTTTTTCTAAAAAATTAGATATTTAAGTCTAAAATTATAAAATTCCTGATTTTTATTACTTTGAAAACTTTAAATGTCCGCAATTTCAAAACTAACCAACCGATTTCGTTTATATTCAAACTCATTAAAGTAAGTCATCTAAAGAATAAGTATACTAAGTTTCATTAAGATCCGTTTAGAATTTGGAATAGGAATCACTTTTAAAAGTCACGTTATGTCTCATACCATCTAAAATTTGTTTAAATAAATTAAGAAATCTAATTTAGATGATTAAAAACCTTTTAAGACTTATAGAAAAAAAATCATCAGAATTTTTAGATAAATTTTGTCTTCGTATTGATAGTAGATACAGTAATCGTTTTTAACAAATAAGCTGTAGAATTAATTTCAGCAAACAAATGTCACCAAATTCTGAAGTCTAAAAAATTGACCAAAAATTTGACCAGATTTGTTTATTACCGTCAGAATTTTTAGATGAATATTAAAAATATTTAGGTTGCATATGAAATAGTTTTTTTTTTTTTTTTTTTTTTCCAGAGGAGGTTTCGTAAAAAGAAAAAAAATGCTCATGAATTTTTGTGACTGACCAAAAAAAATGACGAGCAAATCAACGAGCGAATGCATTTTGAGTCAATAGCTCGTGATTTGACCAAAGTTAAAAATTACCGTCATTTTACATGTCTAATCCTTACCTTTCAAGAGTCTCATCCCTCATCTTGTACTCTCCATTCATAGCACTCCCCAGAACAATATTGCTCTCATCAATGCTCTTCTGTTCCTTGAAGTACCCCCTCTGATAGCTTTCCGCCCTGGAGATCGGTTGAGGCGTAGTAAAATTCTGCCCATAGACGGAATTACCCCTGCTGAATTCCCTCTTGTAAGACCCAGTCCTGGACAAGGGTTCCTTGAAGCTGTCCTGCTCCTCAATGGACCCATAAGAATCATCCCTGCTAGCCTGATAGCTATCTCTCCGTTCCCTAGCTTCAAACTCAGCATAAGAGTCCCCTCGAGTCAACTTGGGCTTCTGGACGCTTCTCTGGCTAGCCTGACTCTGGTGCGAAAGCTGGGAGTCTTTCCTATGCAGCTCAGCAGGGTACTCATCTTCCATCGGCTCCTCGACGTACGACTCGGTTCTGACCAGCCTCTTGCCATTGACATGCATCACCGCAGTAGTCGTAACAGTTTCCGCGTGGCCCGAGCTGGAGTCCACTAAAGTCGAAGCTGGACTTAGTTCTCCAGCCGTGGAGTACTCGAAGCTCTTGCGCTCCAGGAGTCCGTTCACGGAATTCATCGCCGTCTCAAAGGAATCCTTCAACTCATCATCCTGGAGCTCCAAGGAAGCTTGCTGGACCAACTGGCCCTTGTTTTCTTCATAGAAGTAATCTTTGTCCTTGTAACCGTTAACCTGGCTCTTGGTAGTAGGCTCCGGGAGCTTCTGCTTGTCGTCGTAGTAGTCGTAGTACCCTTGGCTGTTATAGTCGTAGCCGTCGGAGTAAGTTACCTCTTGGGGTAACTCTTCTTTACCGACCGGGATTTGTTGGTCAGGTTGATAATACTCAGAAGCAACCGGGTATTTATTATTGTCATGTTGCTGCTGGTTGTTGTAATCAATAGTCACACTTGAGGTTGTAACTATGCTATTATTGTAATTACTTACTGGCACATTTTTGTAATTGTTCAGATCAACCTGATTATTGTCGTCTTTTGCTAGAGTATAAGTCTCCTCGGTGTAAGATTCAGAAAATGAATCTTGTTTGTACGAGTCTTGCTTGTAAGAATCTGTGTATGAATCTTGCTTGAAATCTTTGAAGGAATCTGTATAAGAATCTTGAAATGAATCTTGTTTGTAATCTTGTAAAGTTTCTTCTTTATAAGGTTCCTCTTGACTATAACCTTTTGATAAATCTTGGCTATAACCATTTTGTTGGCTAAAACCTTTTTGTGTTTGTTGGTTATAATCTTCAATCGGTTCTTGATTATAAGTGTCTTGGGCACCATAACCTGTAGAAGAGTCTTGATTATAATCTTGTTTGTAATCTTGCTGATTATAATCTTGTTGATTATAATCTTGTTGATTATAATCTTGTTTGTAATCTTGTTGATTATAATCTTGTTTGTAATCTTGTTGATTATAATCTTGTTTATAATCTTGCTGATTATAATCTTGTTTATAATCTTGCTGATAAACATCTTGTTTATCATAATCTGTTAGTGGTTCTTGATTATAATTTTGTTTATAAACATCCTGTTGGTTGTAATCTTGTTTATAAACTTTTTGTTGGTTAAAATCTTGTTTATAAACATCCTCCTGATTATAATCTTGCTTATAAACTTCTTTTTGGTTATAATCTTTTGATGTATTTTGTTGATCATAATCTTTAAGTGATTCTTGATTATAAGAATTTTGTGGCCCATAACCTGTAGAAGAATCTTGTTTATAATCTTGCTGATTATAATCTTGTTTATAATCTTGCTGATTATAATCTTGTTTATAATCTTGCTGGTTATAATCTTGTTTATAATCTTGCTGGTTATAATCTTGCTGATTATAATCTTTTTTATGATTTTGTTTATAATCTTGCTGACTATAATCTTGTTGATTATAATCTTGTTGATTATAATCTTGCTGATTATAACCTTTAAGTGACTCTTGATTATAACCTTTAACTAAATCTTGTTGTTTGTAACCTTTAGTCAAATCTTGTTTATAATCTTGACCATTAGCTTGACTATAATCTTGTTTAAGATTATCCTGAAGACTATCTTGATAGTCTTTAAAGTTACTCTTACTGTCATAACCTTGATAATTGTCAATGACCGCGGACTGATATTGATTGTTAACCTTAGGATATGTGTTTTGATAACCGTCCTCGTAAGTTCCGTAACCTGGATAATCTTTTCCGACTGATTCGTAGTCGTAGTTATTCTGAGGGTACTGGTTCTGATAATCGGGTACGAAGTGATTGTCCTGGAGGGGCTGGAACTCGAAACTTTCCTGCTCCAGGTTGTCTTGAGAGCTACGGTAGGCGTAGTTGTAGTCCTCGTTGTACTCTTGCTTGTAGTAGCTCTCCTCAGAGGGCGTCCGGGTGCGCGGCAATTGCCGGCCCGGAGTCGCGGGAAGGGATAAAGGCTTGCGGTTCAGGAGAACGTTGCTCGGTTTTGAAGGAGTCGGGGGCAGTTTCTTCCCGGTTATCGCTCCTTCTTGCCGGGAGAGGGCGCGAGGTGTCTTTTTCCGTCGGGAGCTGCAATTTATTTTATTATTAATAACAAAAATAATGATTGGTGGGGATAAAATTGGATTTTAAGGTTACCTGTAGTCGAGTTCTTCGGATTCGTAACTACGTTGCCGGGTAACGGTGGGCCGATAATTAGGTCGATGGATCCCGATACTTGACGCTGGTCTCTGGGGTAAGCTTTTACGGTTTCGTTTGTTTTCGTAGTAAATGCTTGGTCCTAGGTACCATTTTCCTCCACTGTCCCATTGACGGTCTTCATCGTCTTGGCCATATCTTTAAACAGTAATTTTTTGTTATATTCTTAGTAACAAGAAAATTTTTTAATGAATTATAATAAAAAGATAAATGATCTACTGGAGACTACAAGGATAAATTTAAAAAATAATTTTGATAAGTTAATTACAAGGAATTTTATTAAAAATTCCATTTTAAAGCTTGTTTAAATTTTCCCGCGGATAGTATTTTTTTTCATACGAATTGAATGCCCTCTTTCGTTCCGATGTCAATCATAAAAAAGGACCAATTAAAGACTGACCTTCGGTCAGTCAAAGAACATAATTGAGTATAGTATCAGCTGTCTTAAAGCTCTATTTACAAATAAATTTTTCTATATGGCTTAAAGGACAAAAAATTTCTCCGCCAGCCGAACAAAAATTAATTATAATTAAACAAAACAATATTAAGCTGCAATTTTCAATCCTTAACTTCCTATTAGGCAGATGAGGAGGTTAAAAAATAAATTGAGTTGAAAAATTTATTTTTTTTAAAGTTATCGTGTTTGTCCCTCCATAAAAATTTAAAAATCTACACTATACCATCTAACCCACTTTTTTATGCAAAAATATCAATTAATTGATTTTAAAAAAATGTTCATAAATTCAGCGATCATTTTTCTTTTTAATTATATTTTTTTTGCATTATTTATATTTTTATTCATAATATAATGCAAAATACAAAAGTAAATTTATAAAATAAAAAAGTAACAAATTTTATGTTGTGTTTCAATTACTTATTATTGAATTACTGTTAAGTTTCAGTTGCGAAGAAAAATACGATTGCTTCTAGTTTATAGACAATAATTTCCGCAGTTAATTGAATTTAATTTAATTGAAGGAAATAGCATGGAATAAAATTCGTAATAAATGTGAAATTAAATTCTTATATATAACTGGGTTATATTAGCTTTACGAATTCAATTGTTGAACGTAATCTTAAATAGAAAGTGGTAAAATAATTACTTTTTTGCGGCGGGTGGTCTTGTATTTACAAAATAAAAGAACTTTACGCTAAATAAAAATACAAAAAAGTTTCCTATTTGCTTACAATTTAATTTAATAGCTTACACTAATCGGCTACCCAATTTTAAAATACAGTAACTGCAAAATTTTTTTGAATATTGCTGTATTTTTTATAACTTTGAGCTCTTAATTTCAAGTATTTTTTCCTAAAAATACTTATATCTAACTATTTTCTATTCATAAATCTTTTATTTTATTAATTTGGCGCGCAAATTTTTTTTTGAATAAGAAAAATTTTAAAGTGTTTTGAAATTAGGCAGCCGTAATTTTTTTATTAAGTGTTTTAATACCAAAAAAAATTCACCTTTCATCCTGATAAATATATCGTGAGTCTGTATAATCATTATGCATAATATCTGTCTGACATTCTGGATAAACGGCGCTCATTTTCGATATCCTGGTGTCATTATAGCCATATCCGTCAGTATTGTAATGCTGTTCGTCGTACAAGGTGTTTTGCCTTTCTAACGAAGGTTTTCTATGCGGGCCTACAAGATAATGTTAAAAAAACCCATTAATTACAAAATCACAACATTAATTATAGTAATTATATTCATATTAAGTTAATTTGCTAATAAATAAAATTTAAATCAGCAATTTTTACTATTTATATCAGCAAATAAATTATTATTAAAAAAATTATATTAAAATTTTTTCTGAATTTTTACAAGTAAAATTTTATTTATAAATATTTATTTGCTAAAAAAAAATTACATTAAAATTTTTTCTGAATTTTTGCAAGTAAAATTTTATTTATAAATATTTAGTTGCTAAAAAAAAATTTTTAATTTTTATTATTTGCAAATTAAATACAAAAAAAATTTTTTTGGTTTAAAAAAAAATTCAACCAAAAAAATATTTTTGAAAAATTTAATTATTTTTAATGAAGAAAAATTTTTTAATAAAATAGAATTTTTCTTAAAAAAATTTTTGTTAATTTTTTTTCTTGATTCAAGTTAATTTTTATTTAAGTGTTATTACCGCGTCGACTTGAACTAGTAGTACTGGGATAATATGACTCGGTATCGCTGAATACCCTGGTGTCGTCGATCCTCGTCCCCTGGTAATCGTACCCCTCGCTGTACCACCCGTCTTGACTGTAATTAAACAGATTATTACTTTCATGTACAGCCGGGAGATAAGTTAATTGTTTAATGATGGATTTATGTATGTCGTGATGTTCATCGTGTTTATTTACACTCGTTATAATTTATATACAGATGTTATGATAAGGGTCGTTTTTTTTAGCGATAAGATCAAACAAGTGATGAATAAAATTTTTTTTTGATAATTTATGTTGTATTATTTAAAATAAATTTCATTTTGAGATTCAGAATTTTTTTTCGTTAAATATTTTTACATTTTTTCAACCTAAAATTTCATACCAATTTTTTGAAACTGAAATAAGTATTCTTATCAATAAATAAAAATCTAGTTTTTGAAGTTATAAAGTTCAAATTCAAAATTCTGGATTGAATATTGGATACGAAAAAATCATCAGATTTTTTTATAGAAAATTTTATTTCCTATAAAAAAGTTATTTTTTAATTTTGCCCTATCTTATCTTTTCTCCAAAATTTGAATTTAAAGTAGAAAAATGAAGGTATAGAACTTATCCGTAGTTTTTAAAGTTCAAAATACTAATTTTGGCTAAGGTATTGAAAATAAAATGTTGAGATCTGTAGTGGAATTCTGGTTCAGGTGAATAAATAGTTACCAAGAACTGTTAATAAACCATCAGGTATAAATGCTTATTTAACACCTTGTAATTCACCTGAACAAGTGTTCCACTACAGATTTCAACATAAAAAAAGTCATATCAAACCTTTTTATAAATATGTTTATTTCTTACAAAATAGTTTCGTATCAATTTTACCCTATCTCTCATTCATTCTTTAAAATTTGATTCTAAAGTCAAAAAGTGAAGTTATAAAATTTATCCTTAGCTTTCAACAGTTTAAAATGCTAATTTTGGCTAAAATATTGAAGGTACAAAAAAAATCATATTTAAATTTTCTTTTATAGAGAATTAAGTTTTCTAAAATAAAAGTTTTAATCAATTTTACCGTATCTTAAACCGTTGAACAAGAATTTTGAAAATAAAGATTCAAGTGATAATTATCAATTTTTTAATTTATTATTGTTATTAATTTTTTGAGTTATTACTTAAGTTTGTAAAACTCCAAAAGTTCAAATATTAGACTAATTTTATAGCAAAGTTTTCATAAATCTAATAACATATTTATTTATTTAATCATATAGCATGTGAAAATTTTTTGGAACATTTCGCCGCCTAGCGGAATTCTTAAGAAGTTCGACTAAAATTTTTAGAATTGTTAAAACAACTCCAAAACTGTATTAAAGTATCGAAAAAAAATTCTTACTCCTCAAATAAAATAAAAAAAAAAAGGAAACTTAAGTGGATAAAAAGATAAATGTTATTCTTTAATGAAAAGTGACAAAAAAAATAGAAAAACACAAAAACACTCGATCGTACCTGTCCTCATAATCCCACGTGTGCTTCCGTCGTCTGTTAAAACATGAAAAATAAGTAAAGAAGAAAATACTGGAAAAGTCCAGCTAATAACAATAATAATATTAATAATAATAAGAAAAACAGTAGTAAAATAATTAAAAAAAATTTTTTTTTAAATAAGAAAAAAAAAAGTTCATTATCTGCGCGACAAATGTATGTAAGTGTATTCATATTATATATTTATCTATATATATATATTGTCTCGAAGCTCAGAGAATTAAATTCCCTTGGTAGGATTTAGGTGTTTATAAATAAAAGCTTTTACCTGTACTCTTTGTAACCGCGGGGTCTGCTATTGTACGAAAGAGGCTCGGAAGACTCTCCACTCTGCGGCGTAATGTACCGCTGGGGTATATTGTCTCCAGGATAAGGCTCGTCATACCTAGGACTATGTCCGCGACTTCCCGTTCCGTAACTGGGGTAACTCGCGGTTAACCTTCCGCCTACCGTTGCGGGAATCTAGAAATAAATTTATGTTAGATATGGTATTTTGGTCCTTCTATTAGTAGGATCAAGGATTTAGTACCTGGTGATCATCGCGCTCGTAACTATTTTCCCTGGAGGTTTCCAGAGAACGCTGGGGAGTTGCCAGTTGATTAGCGGCTGTTCGGAACTGGGAGGCTGAACTGTTCGCACCTTGTCCACCTACTGGGTAGTTCAGGTCCGATGTGTAGTCGGAATCTTCGGAGTAACCCGCTAGAAAAATTTTAGAGTTAGTTTTTGGGATTGAAATTGATTTTTTTAAGAGACTGGGCCCATAACCTGCCCAGAAAGAAAAATTTAGTAACTATTATATTTATCAACATTTAATAAATCGTATTTAATAAATAACTTATTAACTGCTAATAAATATTTATTAATTCCTATGATGTTAAAAAAATCAATTATTAACAGTTAATAAAGCTTATTAGATATAAACAAATCCTTCTATCAGTACCATTAATTTTTGCTGCAAAGATTAAAATTTTAACAATTTGATTTTTTAAGAAACTGGACCCATAACCTGAAAGTTAGAAGGACATTTTGCCGCGAATATAGAAGGAAAAGTAATAGATTGTAATTAAAATTGACTTTCTTTTGTTAATTTAATTGAAAAAATTTTTGAGAAACTAAAACTTTGGTGCTTTTTCTTGAAAGAAATTTTCTTTATAAATAATCGTAAGATATTCCGCAATTTATAATCTTATTTCAATTTTTTGAATAATTATTCCCAAATACTACGAAAAAAAATATTGAAAAGTTCCATTAATTTTTACTGCAAAGGTTAAAAATAATAAACGTGAAAAATTGATAAGATTAATAATTATTTCAGACTATAAATATTAAAAATTCCAGTGAAATAAAATGTTTTTACTGAAATTACTAAAAATTTAACCGGACTTGACAGTAAAAATTAATCCAAGTACCGGAATTATCCACCGACTTTGAGGCGGCGCTGCAATCGCTCTCGACTTATCAGCTGTATAAAAAATTACACATTTTGGTGATCAGTTGTTGCTCAATTACAGTTAATTCTACCAACAATTTTATACAATTATCATTCTAATTAAATTTTATCCAATTAGTTGAATATTATTTTTAAAAATGTACTTTAATGAAATTCGTTATTTTTTTTTACTATTAGCAATTATTCTATATATATTTTCAAGTGAACTAACCTTAAAAAATAAATTAAATCTCAAAAATTAATTAAACATTCAATCTTATAAAACTAAAATCTTTTCCAAAATATAAAACCTATAAAATTAATAATAATATTCCATTGATAATATGTCCAATAATAATTCTATTCCGTGTGAGGTAATTAAATATTTTTTTATTTTACCGATAGATTTTACTTTAATAAACTTTAGAAAGTATTGCTACTAATAAATAGCAAAGCGCTCTGGATTATAGTACAGTCCACTAATTTTTCTCTCGAATTTAAAAGAAAATTTCTTTAGAAACTCCCAAGAAATATAATAATTATTGTTAAAGTTTCTAAAATAAATTTAATAATTGGAGAATTGCTGAGTTTTCTAAAAAAAAATAATCGAGCACACTTACAGTGTCCTATATTGTAGAGAATTTGTCTCCTGGCCTGTTCAGCTCTCGCCTCTTGGTCCATCGTATTGTTCAGCATCTCAAGCTTCCGCTGCAAGTCCGCAGCTTCCGTGTTCTCTGGATCTTTGGATAAAAGCAAGCCAATATAAGTCAGTATAAATCGTCAACAAAAATTGACAATTATCGAAATGAAACTATATAAATAAAATATAATAAAAAAATCTTCTAGTCGGTGCAGTCGTCTATAATCTAACGAGCAATTTTTAAAAATTTTATTTATCGTCAAAAAGTATCGACTTTCCAGAGACTACTTTATTAAGTTAATAAAGAGTTATTTTATTTTATAAAATAAAATAAAATGGGCTTTGTAACGAGACTATTACGAAAAGGAATCGAGATAGTCCATCCTTGTAATCTGGGCAATAATGGACGATTTTCTCATGACCTTTTCCGGCTATTTCACATAACACTACTTCTAACTAAACTGTTTGTATAAAATGGAGGACAATGAGATGAGTTGAGTTTATACTACACTATAATATAATAGAACACTATAACGCTATTATTGTAGCTATATACGTGATATTATTCTTGAGTGTTTTCAGCTTGAGCTGATAGTCTAAGTAGTATGTCTAATAGTTTTTGATAATTTTTAAAATAATCTAGTTACTGTCTTGGAAAAATGTTTTTTTGAAAATTTAGCTAACAAAATTATTAGTTATTTGTCAAAAATAATTTAGCTACAAACTCTGGACATTTTGTTGCAACAAAATAATTTTGTTGCGATAACAAAGTGATTTTATTGGCAAAAATAGTTGTAAAATTCTGAGAAGCTTTTCTCTAAAATTGTCATTAAAGTTACAATTTACAATTTTGTTTATTATTGTAACAATTTAAAAATCCTGGATATGGTTCACTCTAAAGGCTATCCCTGGAACTTTCTGTTATATTAAAGTTCAAAACGCTCAAAAATTTTTCTATTGCAAAGTTTGTAGCTCTTGAAGCTCAAAATACAACTTCGAGCTCGAAAATCTAGTTACTGTCTTGGAAAAATGTTTTTTTGAAAATTTAGCTAACAAAATTATTAGTTATCGAAAATAATTTATCTATTTTAACAACAACATTTGTTATTCCATGACTGGTTTATGTTGAACCACCAACAAAACTTTTTGTTATCCTGACATAACAATCTTGTTATTTAAACAAATCGATTTGTCCATTAAACTAAAATATTTTGTTGAACTAACAACAATATTCTGCTATAACAAAACTGTTTTGTTATTATGACATATAAATCACTTATTATACCCTAGACTTTGTTTTATCATATCATATGATTTGTTATCTCTATAAGCTAACATATTCATTTATTACCACAACATGTCTTCTGTTGTCCCAAAAAAATATGTTTTTGCATGTAATAAATTTTATTTTGCACATAAGACTAAAATTTTGATGGATGTAAGAAAAAATTTCAATTTAAAATTCTTTATAAGAAATCTAATAGTTCCTTTTTTTTTTTAGAATATTATAAAAATTTTATAAAGTTCTATTTTTAACAAGAATAAACTTTATATACTTTTCATAGAGTGTTAAAAATAGTTAAAACAGTAACGACTAAAATTACAATACAGTATCAAAAAGGAAAAAATAAAAAATTCAAAACTCATTCATTTATTAAAAAGACTCCCAGTGGACTGGAAAAGTCGCACAGCGCCCCCACGGGAGCTGTGATTTTCACTATCTGGGTTTTTTATCTTTATTTAGTCCTTCCGTAGATTTTTCTACTATCTCACAATATCAGTCTGCCGGAAAAAATGTCACCTGGTAAGTATTGATAAACTTTAGACTTTTATTTATTTCTATTTTTACTTTTATTGCTATCATTCATTTTATTTTTCAATTCACACGGTCAAGCTTCGCACTATCAATGATGACGGGTAAATAAACTAAAATTCAATAATAAATTAAAAAGTAAAAATAATACTCTGGAAAGTCATTATTACTTAATCACTTTTTGTTTTATATTTAATGATTTTAGAGGACCGGTAGCTTTTAATTCCCGAATTATGGTTTGAATTTTCAAATTTCGCGGGTATTTTTTTTGAACGGCCATTTTAAAGTCGGAATTATAATCACCATCTTGTTCAATTTTTCAGTCATTAATTTTCTTTTTTAAGATCAATTTTAGTGGTTAAAAAATTTATTTTTATATTTTTATTAATTTATTTAAAGAAATTTTAATAAATTGATCCTCAAAAAAAATTTTTTTTCATAAAATTAAATTAAAAAATTAACAATTTTTTTTTAACAACTTTTACTAAAAAAAAAAAAAAAAAAAAAAACAATTGTGGGAATCGAACCCAGTTCTTTCATAATGTATCTTAAGTGACTTATGTTCTTCGCTAACGATCTTAAATTGACCGACGGCTATTCCAATTTTTTTTTATCCCAAAAATATCATCTTTTCTGTAGTTTTAACCCTTTGACCTCAAAATTCCCGAAAAACTACCGGTCCTTATACTAAACTACAAAATAAAAAAAAATAACAAGGATAGAATACAGTGCCGCAGCCATAGCTTACCCAGGTACCCTCAGCTTAAATTAAAAAAAAAATAGTATAAAAAAAAGAAATTTAAAATAAATCTGTGCTATCGCCGCGCCACTGCTCACTTAGTGCGACTAGTCGCGGAACTACGTGCTTTACATTAAATTTTCCTTGTTATCACAATAATTATTACGTTATGTATGTTCAGATATAAATCGACTTAATTTTATAAAATACATCAAAGTAATTAACACGTTTACACACAAACTCAAGTGCTTGCCTAATTTATATTGTGAACGCTATAACACAGTACATTTAGTATTACACACACATTATTCAGTAAGTACGAACAAGGTAAAAAGTATTTAAGTTTTGTTGTTAAAAATAGGTCAAAAAAAATTACTGGACAATATTTATTGTGCTAAGAAAAAACATTCACCCGTAGATTTATTTTTGTTTTTTTTTTATTTTAAAAAGACAATAAATTCTAAGAAAATAAAGTAGTTTTCCTACGTATATGTTTTTTTATGGTAATTTTTGTTTTTTAGTCAAGAAAATCGATAAGGTAAAAGTCCCAATTATTGACACAGAGACAAAGTTATGATTCCATTTTTAAGTAATGTTTTTACTAATCAATTTCTTTTTTCAATTAATTACTTTTAAAAATATAAAAATTAATTTAAAAATAATTTATTGGATCATGGGGGCTTTTACCTTATAAGATTTCGATAAAAATTTATAAAAAAAAATTTTTTTCAACGTTACACCCCCTGTCGTAAAATAATCGCAGTCTTGATGGAAAATTTTTTTTATTTCTTTCAGAAATTTATTTTAATTTTTTTTAATGAATAAAAATCAAAATTTTGGACCAAATTTTGTTGCTATAAATAGAAAAAAAATTTTTTTCAAAAGAACGGGCTACTAGGGGGAGGTGTAACAATTCAGAAAAAATTTTTTTTGTGCTTATAAAGAACAAAAAAAAATTTCTAAACCATATACGTAGGATGGATCGAATATTTTAAAGAATAAAATGTAAAAATAAAGTGATTGAAAGAAGAAAGACGGAGCTAGAACTAAGGGGTGGTAAGTGGCCCAGATAATTTTCACAATCAAGTTAATTGAATGATCAAAGTGAGATGACAAAGTAGCGGGAGAAAGACAAAGAGTCGGAGTTAAAACTACGAGGTGTAAATAGACTTTGGCTACTTATACTTTACTTTTGGATTAATTCGGGTCACTATTGTATGAATCATAAATGTTTTAATTAAAAATAATCAAGTCTTGACACTCAAGATGGTGCAGTGGCGGGCTAGAGGGTTGTCACGCTAATTACGGAAAAAGCTCGATACCGTGGATGCGTAAATTTGTTTTTGAACTATGCAAAAATTTATTTTCTACTATTCTTTTTAGTAAATATTTAGCAAAAATATTTTTAAAATTTAGAATTGTTTTTTTTTTTTTAATTTAAATTTCTGCATAATCGCGGTTTGAAATTATGAACAAACATCAATGGAGAACGAATGAATGTTTGCACGAAAAAAAAAAAGTATTTTTCTTTTCAAAATACAAAGTATTCTAAGACTATTTTTACAGAATTTTTACTGTAAAAAAACTGGTATAGTTCCCACAGTAATACTGAATTTAATACCCAAAGCTAATACTCTATGCTATTACACTGAAAAAACAGTTTGTATGATTTAAATTAGATTTTATTATGATAAATACTTAGCTTGCATTCAAAATTGCTCTTCTCTAGATACATAATTAAGAAATTACCTCGTATCTTGTGAACTATTGACATTTTTAAAGATATAAGCTCATCCCGATGTTATACTCATCAAGACCTTTCATTTGAGTACCCACATCAATTTTTTATATATTTATATATTTATATATATTATATATATTTATATATATTATATATATTTATATATGAAAAATATATAATTAATGCATGTGGGTACTCAAATGAAAGCTCTTAATGAGTGCAACGTCGGGATGAGCTTATATCTTTAAAATTGTCAATAATTAAGAAATTACATTGATATCCTGTCAACTAATGATATTTTTTAAGATATAAGCTCATCCCAATGTTATACTCATCAAGACCTTTCATTTGAGTACCCACATCAATTTTTCATATATTTATATATATATTATATATATGTATATATGAAAAATATATCAAAATACATGTAGGTACTCAAATGAAAGCTCTTAATGAGTGCAACGTCGGGATGAGCTTATATCTTTGAAATTGTCAATAATTAAGAAAGTACATTGCTATCCTGTCAACTAATGATATTTTTTAAGATATAAACTCATCCTGATATTACATTCATCGAGATCTTTCATTTGAGTACCCACATCAATTTTTCATATATTTATATATATTATATATATGTAGATATAAAAAATTTATCGAAAATGAATGTGGGTACTCAAATGAAAGCTCTTGATGAGTCTAACATCGGGATGAGCTTATATTTTTAAAAACACCAATATTTAAGAAAGTACAGTGCAATTTAACAAAATTCATTATTTAATATCAGTGTAAAAATACCAGTTTCTTTAATGAAAAAAAAAAATTTAAGAGGAAAAATACTTTTTTTCCAATGCGGTAGAAAAATAACCATAATAGGTTTAGGATATTTACACATCCATGGATTTATTAATTTCCATGGGATGTCACGGTGTGATGATGCGGAGGGTACCTGAACCACACATAGGCCGTGATGCCCATAACTTGATTGCAGTTTCGCTCGTTATCAAGGCTTTCCATCCGCTCCTCGGGTCACACCATCTTCCTAATTCATCAACGGAACCGTTTACAACAATTTACCTTTCTCACAACATAAACTTATTATTTATCATTTATCATTTAATTAACAACTACTATCTGAGCATCTTTCCAACTTAAAACTTGTTAATTATCTCTGCCAATTTATCAACTTTATCAAGGAAATTTTGTTCCGCTCTCAGACATCCTTGTTTTTAATTATTCACTCGAATTATTAATTAATTAATTATAACTGAATAATAATTCACTTACCAAAGGGTTGCTCGAATCTGCAGGATATCAGTAGACTATGGCCAGTTGGTACTTTCGTTCCAACTACCTCGCCTCCCCGCATCTCTAGCTCCGAATCAAGGCTTACCCATTGTCCGCAATCGTCCTTAAAGAAATAAAATAAATGTTATTTAGTAAATAAGTTATATTTAATTAACTTACACGCAAAAAAATTTTTTGTTAGAGCAACAAAAAAAAAATACATTTATTATAAATTTAATTTTCTTAAAAAAAAGGCTATAAATTTTTTTATAAAATCAATAATAACCAAATTATTATTAAAAAACAAAACATAGACCGTGATAATACGCAAGATAAAACCTTTCTTAAATTTAAAAACTTTCTGTCCATAAAATTAAATTTAACTTTAAAAAAAACTGTAACTCCCGCCAGCATTTGACCCACATATCACTTTTATATTTATACAAAAACAGAACCCAAGGAAGTGGAACTTCTGAAAAACAAATTTAATATCCCCAAGTTAGAGACAGAGACGAAGAATCTAAATCGATTGCGAAAAAGTTATTAGATTACAAGTTTTAAAAAACACGCGACCTAAAAATAAACAAAAAAACAAAGTATAAAAGCAACCAATAATCCCCCAACAAAAGTGTCAACTACCAAAAGTTGTTAACACAATCAACGGATCAACGATCTTGATAGCAAGCTAATTAAAATACCTTTTTTCCAAAGTCACTTTCTCACGCGACAAAATTTTTATTAAATTAATTTTATTTGAAAATTAACTCTCTGTTAATACGTCGGTGTATTAGACACAAAGTATAGAAGGTAGAATATAATATAATAATGGATATGGAATGTTATTCAGTATTAATACCCGACATAAATAATTCTCTCCATGATCCCTGGTTGGCATGTATTGCATGATCGCAATGGAATGCAATGTCCTTGCTGGGATATTGTTGTATACAACTTGTTATATTATATATTATATATTGTATATTATTATATTGTACGACACGAGTCGACGTAGATGCGTTTATTCGTCGGTATAACAACATTTATCAAACGCCAGAACAATGGGAACTATAGCGGCAAGGTCTGACGCAAGCACTGGAACTACTACTCGAGCATATTTCTTTTATTTTAAGTATGTATATACTATATATATATATATATATATATATATATATATATATATATATATATATATGTAGGGAAAATATTTTACATAAATGTTGAATATGCACACATTTAACTCGACTATTAAACATGACAAAACGTCTTAGTCTGTACACATTTAGCTTTTAAAGTTAAATTACTACGAGATAAATTCAATATATATATGTAGAAATATGTTGAGAATTAATATTTATGTGAGTAATAATAATGAATATACATGTTATGATAGTGACCATTAGTCATTGTTTTTGTAGTTATTATTTTAATGTAAATTGAAATGTTAAAAATAAAAGTTTTGGAAATAATAGAGTAATAGTTATTTGATTTTTTAATAATTTTATAACAAACAGCAATAAAAAATTATAACACTATAAGAATTAATTAAAAAAATTAGTTTAATGAGTTAATTATAAGAAATTTTATTTACAATTCAATTTTAAAGCTTGTTTAAATTTTCCCGCGGTTAGTATTTGTTTTCATACGAATTGAGCGCTCTCTTTCGTTCCGATGTGAATCATAAAAAAGGACCAATTAAAGACTGACCTTCGGTCAGTCAAAGAACACAATTGAGTATAGTATCAGCTGTCTTAAAGCTCTATTTACAAATAAATTTTTCTATATGGCTTACAGGACAGAAAATTTCTCCGCCAGCCGAACAAAAATTAATTATAATTAAACAAAACAATATTAAGCTGCAGTTTTCAATCCTTAACTTCTTATTAGGTAGATGAGGAGATTAAAAAAGAAATTGAGATGAAAAATTTATTTTTTCAAAAGTTATCGTGATTGTCCCATCATAAATTTGAAAATCTACAATATAAGCTATTAAAACCACTTTTTTATGTAAAAATAGCAATTACTCACTCTTAACTATACGAATAAATTTTAAAAATAATTTTAATAAGTTAATGACAAATTAATTACAAGAAATTTTATTTATAATTCAATTTTAAAGCTTGTTTAAATTTTCCCGCGGTTAGTATTTGTTTTCATATGAATTGAACGCCCTCTTTCGTTTCGATGTGAATCATAAAAAAGGACCAATTAAAGACTGACCTTCGGTCAGTCAAAGAACACAATTGAGTATAGTATCAGCTGTCTTAAAGCTCTATTTACAAATAAATTTTTCTATATGGCTTAAAGGACAGAAAATTTCTCCGCCAGCCGAACAAAAATTAATTATAATTAAACAAAACAATATTAAGCTGCAATTTTCAATCCTTCACTTCCTATAAGGCAAATGAAGAGATTAAAGAAGAAATTGAGCTGAAAAATTTATTTTTTCAAAAGTTATCGTGTTTGTCCCTTTAAAAATTTGAAAATCTACACTATTAGCCATTAAAACCACTTTTTTATGTAAAAATAGCAGTTAATCGATTTTTAATAAAATTTTACCAATCTGTTAAGGTTTAAATTAGGTAATTTCAATATAAAACTTCTATTTGAACGTATTAAAGTATTTTAATTTATTCAAATAGCTAAATTTTTAATGCCTTATTTTCTTTATTTTATTTTTCATATTTCCAGTGAAAAAAAAGGTTATATACATCTGACTATAAATAATTTTTGCAATTAATATTCTCAATTTTACAAAAACTAGCTTAAAAATTGAATTCAAAATTAGTTCCGAAAAAAAATATTACTTCGAACTCTATACCTCAGAGTTAACTCTCTTGTAAGGAGAAAGTTTAGCGACCATGCGCCATCTATCGGAAATTTTCAATACCAAGCATTCAAAAAAATTACATATTGAAAAATATCAAAATTTTTCTCACCGCATCAAGCAAACATTTAGCAGAATTTCCTCCAAAAAAAAAATTGTATTTTGCCTTAAGCACACTCTGCGTAGGTTATCTCCCTAACCTTGGTACCGAAGGACAATACCAGCTATCTGGCTCCACTTATCTCCATACTAGCGCAATATCATACGTTTTATCCACGAGTTTTATTTTACTCTTAACCAGAAATGAAGGATCCTCAGTTTCCTCAGATTAAAGATAGCAATCATAATCACAATGATTGTTTAGGTAAATCAGCACTTTATCCGTTATTGTCATCTCCTATTGGTAAAAACGGTGAAATAAATCTCTTTGAGACATAAAAGTAGATTGCTTACTGGACCGAGCATGATATGTTCCTTCTCAAGTGGGTTCTTATCATGTCCAGGCTGGAAATAGCGACTTTTCTCAGTCAGATAAAAAGAAAGGTCATATATTACTGAACAGAAAATTTTTTTCCTCCACATCTATTATATATGTATAATAATTTATAGACTCGATAAAGTGTAAGCTATTAAGGGATTTTATCACTTGTAAGTATTTGAGCAAAAAAAAATATCGTAATCATAAAAGTAGATTTTTTTTTAAGGTTTCGCAAACTTGTTATCGATTTATATTTATTAGAAGTATCTATATAGTAGCAGTTTCTATTTTCACAAGGTTCGAATCATGACCTGGGATATTTTAGCCGCTCTGAATACAAATCAAGATAGAGATTGAGAAAAATGGATAAAACAGAACCGATAAATATATATTTTATAAATCCTATTTTTCCGGGTAAAAATAATCCTTTAACGATTGCTTAAAGGCGATATAAAAGTATTGAGGTTTTTTTATAACTTTTTAACCCCGGGTCGCAAAACTAACGAGAATCGAATGCCAGCCGTGAACATACGTATGTAGATCCGTGTTATTCTCGGTGAATATTTTAAGAGAAAAGCATGACCCAGTTGTCCCTTTGCAACTTAATGTTACTAAGCACTCTTCAGCTTGATTGCTCGATGGGTTCATTAAAAATAACAATATTGTTTTATTTTCACTATCAATTCTCTCTTTATATTTGTGGTTGTACTTTTGCTCTATTTTTGGTTAATATTGAATCTATTGAAGAATTTGGACTGACTTTTAAAGTCTTGGGAATGTTAATTTAGTTTTTTGGAAATCTAGAATATTTTTGGAGAAATTTTTTCTGTCATTAAATCGGTCTTACTACTTCATTTTTTTATTTTATAATAAAACGATAGGGTGTAAGTACAGTTTTTGGCCAGATAACATTTGAATTAATTTTGAAAAAACTATAATATTGTAACCATATTTTTGTTGAGTTTCAAAAAATTTATTTTAAAAGGAAATAAGTTTGTAAAGTTTTATTAATATAAATTCATTTCTATCGTTTATTTGAACAATCAATGGCCATTAAAGGTACATTGGCCACAAACGGTACTTCTACCCTATTTGAACTTAGAATTTCATAAGCTTAAGCAAAAAATTTAATTAATTTTTCTAAAGAAAAATTAATAACAATAATGAATTAAAAAAACGATATTTCGAGCTCGAAAATCTACTTACTGTCCTAAAAAAGTGTATTTTTGAAAATTTAATTAACAAAATTATTAGTTATTACTCGAAAATAATTTTGGTCATTTTGTTGCAACAAAATAATTTTGTTGCGATAACAAAGTGATTTTGTTGGCAAAAAAAGTTGTAAAATTTTGAGAAGCTTTTTTCTAAAATTTCCATTAAAGTTACAATTTACAATTTTGTTTATTATTGTAACAATTTAAAAATCCTGGATATGGTTCACTCTAAAGGCCATCCCTGGAACTTTCTGTTATATTAAAGTTCAAAACGCTAAAAAATTTTTCTATTGCAAAGTTTGTAGCTCTTGAAGCTCAAAATACAACTTCGAGCTCGAAAATCTAGTTACTGTCTTGGAAAAATGTTTTTTTGAAAATTTAGCTAACAAAATTATTAGTTATTTGTCGAAAATAATTTATCTACAGACTCTGGTCATTTTGTTGTAACAAAATAATTTTGTCGACGTAACAAAGTGATTTTGTTGGCAAAAATAGTTGTAAAATTCTGAGAAGCTTTTCTCTAAAATTGTCATTAAAGTTACAATTTACAATTTTGTTTATTATTGTAACAATTTAAAAATCCTGGATATGGTTCACTCTAAAGACTATCCCTGGAACTTTCTGTTATATTAAAGTTCAAAACGCTAAAAAATTTTTCTATTGCAAAGTTTGTAGCTCTTGAAGCTCAAAATACAACTTCGAGCTCGAAAATCTAGTTACTGTCTTAAAAAAATGTTTTTTTGAAAATTTAGCTAACAAAATTATTAGTTATCGAAAATAATTTATCTATTTCAACAACAAAATTTGTTAATTCATGACTGGTTTATGTTGAACCACCAACAAAACTTTTTGTTATCCTGACATAACAATCTTGTTATTTAAACAAATCGATCTGTCCATTAAACTAAACTATTTTGTTGAATCAACTAAAATATTCTGCTATAACAAAACTATCCTGTTATTATGACATATAAATTACTAATTATAACCTAGACTTTGTTATCATATCATATGAGTCGTTATCTTTATGCTAACATATTCATTCCTTACCACAACATGTCTTCTGTTGTCCCAACAAAATTTTTTTTGCATATGTGCATAATTTCATCAATTTAACAGGAAAAAATTCTATCGGGACCATTACAATTTTTCCTTCAATTTCATCAATTTCTACAAGCTCAAAGAAGTAACACATTATCTTCATATTTTGATTTCCAAGAATTTTCTCTATGGCAAAGAGAACATTAAGAGCTTATCTATTGTATGGGAAAAATACCGGGAAGATAAGTAGCCTAAAACCTTTGAGCGATTGTGCATAGAATAAATATTTGAGAATTCGCCCCTGGGACGTATCAAACACACAAAAAAGAGAAAATATCCATGGGATTAACAAAGCAATAGATTTACAGCAGATAAAAATGGCTCGAGCCGGATAGTGATGGGCAATACAGTAATGGAGTATGCAGACAATTTATCCATTACAATCCTTCGTGGATCGATGGAGCTTCCGCACGTGCTCAAAGCCGTGTATGACGACATTGCTCATTCAGCGGGCAGAACATCTGAACCTTTAAACCCACAGTTAACTAACTGTTTTTAACCTTCGACCTAATGATCACTCTATTTCTTCAACGGTTCTCTCCGGTACGTGCCTTTTTTGTATTCACCCCGTTTTTACTCCTTCTCACTCCACCGGCGGCTAATAAGCCGCGAGTTAATACTTTAATTAGAGAAAAAACTCGCTCAAACGCGCTTCTCAATTACTTCCCTCACATTATATTTTCTAATCGTGTTAGTCAGTCTAATTATTTTAATTTTAATTTTTTTAACAAGATTATAAAATCTGGAAAATGATCCTGCAAATTCTCTTAAACTTTTTGCTTTTTCCTTTAAGTACATATAATGTTCATACAAAGTATGATTAAACATTTTTAAAGTAAAAATACATATTCTTATTAATAAATAAAAATCTAGCAACAAAATTATTTTGTTACAACAAAATGACCAGAGTAACGGTAGCTTTATTATTTTCGACAAATAATTAATAATTTTGTTAGCTAAATTTTCAAAAAAACATTCTTCCAAGACAGTAACTAGATTTTCGAGCTTGAAGTTGTATTTTGAGCTTCAAGAGTTACAAACTTTGCAATAAAAAAATTTTTGAGCGTTTTGAACTTTAATATAACAGGATGTTCCAGGGATAGCCTTTAGAGTGAACCATATCGAGGATTTTGTAATTTTTTCAATAATAAACAAAATTGAAAATTGTATATGACAATTTTAGAAAAAAGCTTCTCAAAATTTTACAACTTTTTTTGCCAACAAAATCACTTTGTTATCGCAACAAAATTATTTTGTTCCAACAAAATGACCAGAATAACAACAGCTAAATTATTTTGTTCTAACAAAATCATTGTTATTAGTACCAAATATTATTTTAGTCACGTAACACACTGGATTGTTTCAACTTGTCTAATTCTATTAAAGAAACTAATAAACTCGCTATAAGTATACTTATTTGTTACTTCAGAATATTTTCCAGTTATTCTCTATTTTGTGAATTTAACAAAATCATTTTTATGTGTCTTCATTGAATTTGAACTTTTCCAACCCTTATTTTTCTATTTTAAATTTTCAATATTTAAAATTAAAAAAATTATTTTTTTTTTTGACGTAACTTTTACTGAAGATTTTTCTGCAAAAATATTAAAAGATTAATTTTACACAGTAAAAAATTTTGCGTCAATACGTCGAAAAATTTTGTGTTAAAAATTTTTATGTTAAATATTTAAGACTTTTTTGTGTCAATTAACATAAAATTTTTTAACTTAATGACGCAAAATTTTTAACTGTGTAACTTCAGATTTCTCTATTTAGTTTTCATAAAAATCAGTAGTCTTACTTGATTACCTATCTCTTGCAAGAAAAACTGAAATTAAATCGTGTGTCACAACTAAATAAGGTTTCCGTGATGCGAACTTGAAGTATCCGTTTAAAGATCGGTAAATTGGGTTACATTAAAATGTCGAGTTCGATAGCTTCGTATGAAAATTAAGGTAATAAAATAATCGTAAACAAAAACCACCTGCTCAGAACTAAATTGACTTAGCCATTATATTGTCACATATCTACACACTCACACATACACATACCTGCATAAGGACATGAGTAAATAAAAGGGGCTGGAATATATAAGGGTGAGTTTGCTGGCGTGACGCCAATCCGTGTTCAATGAAATAAAATAGTGGAGTCACATTCACATTCGCATTGAAAACCGTCACCCAAGTAAATATGTTCAATTTTTCCTTTTTTTTTTTAATGACAGTATTATGCTGCGTTAACATGTAGTGACAGAGAACCGCGACGTTTTATATAAGAACGAAAATATAAGTAGTATAAAGTGACCCTTTACTTCTCTATTCCTTTTCAATTTTACCTTGGACTGAGAAGATAACAGTGAATAAGAGTGTGTATGTAGGAGTGTAACGTGTACGTGTTCTGGCTCTTTATTATAAATTTTCTTTTCAACATTTTTTTTCAATAAATGTCTTTTGTCATGATAAAATGTAGAGCGGAATCCAGCAGTCACTAGTCGGTAGTTGGTCTTAACATTTCATCGGGCTTTTTTTAAACTATTGACTTCTTTATCAGACATCCCTTTTTATAGATAAAGATAATAAACATGTATGTCTTTTCGGTTTTTTGCTTAACCTATGCCCTATTCGTCTTTATTTAATGGATCAATGCTTATTAGCGAGTTATTAAAGATCCATTGGCTCTCCGAGGGGTCGTAAGGTGCTAAAGGTAACTATTATTTTCATATAAACTATTACATAATACCAAATTTAATATCCAAAGTAAATTAAAAAAATGCACTGATAGAAGAATTTGTTTACACGGAAAAAAGCAAACTGTAATATTCACTCGGATTCCGGTTAATTTTTATAGTTTCAAACAGTAAAGCGGACATCGGGGTGGCAAAAATATAAATATTACAGAACTTAATGTAGAAAGTATAAAAGCCACAATTTATAATTTAATATCCAAAATAAGTGATAGTTGTCACTATAGTAAATAACGACTCTTTCATCTTAAAAAATTACAGTTTCAAACAGTAAAAATTGCCATATTTCAATATATAGTCGATATTATGAGGAGAAGGGGAACTCAGATGAAAGAGAAGGGGGTCTCACTCTGGGAGAATTTAACATTTGAAACAGTAAAAATTATACTTTTAAAATATACATTTTACCAGTCCAAGCAAGTCAATAATTACAGTTTGATTTTTAGCGTTGCGTTTAAAATTTACCATTTTACTTTGTAAATATTAACGTTGCTTGTATTAGAAATTTACTAACTTTATTTTATACTGTTTACATATCATAAGATCATTTTTTAGCTACCAAATAATAAATATCAAAGTCTGAATTGTTAATTATTATACTTAAACATTTTAGACATTTACATAGCAAATATTAATGTTTGAAATAGTATTTTTTTCCATGTAAAGAGTAAATTGTAACGTTTAAATGGTAAATATTATAAAGTGAATAGTAAAATCACGATTTTACTATTTGAAATTGTAATTTTAGTAGTTGATCATTACTTATTATAAATCGACTGTTATTTATTATAGTTTACTTTTTTTCGTGTACGTAGATTGAATTTACGAATTTTCAGGAAGTTTTAAAAATTTGACTACTTCACATGGATCTCCTTAATACCCAAAGTAAATAAAAGTAATAGTCAATCCATCATTTCCCTCAATTTTACCTTCTGTCGGTAATTATTTTCTAAAAACACATGTTTTTTTGCATAGTTAATTCTTAACTACAGAATTTTTTAATTTTTATTACAATTCTAATAACAAATAAGACTAAGAGTAATTTTTTTATATTTATTTTATATCGTTGGAAGAAAAAAAAATTTAGTTTTTAGAATGCCCGATAGATGGCGAAAAGTAGCTGAAAATTTCCACTTGCAAAGCGCTAGATCGAGGAATTTTAAATCTAAGGAAAACTGACGCAGTTTAAACTGATGTAAAATTCTAAAACATTTTAAATATTTACTAACTAAATTATTTTACTTTGTAATTTTGTAAATGTTTATTTTTTATTTACCAAGTCTTTGAAATAGATATAGAAAATACTATTTTCTTAATTTGACGGAAAAATATAAATTTTTCAAAGCGGGAAGTTAAAAAGTATAAATTTTTATGGTCTTAAAAGTTATCTCGTGGTTAAGTTAAGGGTTTATGTGAAACTATTCAGGATTTAATCATGAATTTGATGGTATTTACCTCATTTGCATAAGAGACTTCAGGCAGTGGTATGTAGTGATAACCAAGCGCTCGGTCCCACAGCATCCCTTTGCTCCAAACTTCCACCAATAACCCGGTATTAACGTCGTTCGTCTCGCTAGAAACAAAATATTGAATAATTATTTGAGACTTTGAATAATTATGGAATAATTATTTAATCATTTGAGAAACTGGGCCCATAACCTAGAAGTTAAAAGGACTTTTTGCCGCGAATTTAGAAGGAAAAATAATAGATTATAATTAAAATTGACTTTCTTTTGTTAATTTAATTGAAAAAATTTTTGAGAAACTAAAACTTTGGTGCTTTTTCTTGAAAGAAATACTACGAAAAAAAATATTGAAAAGTTCCATTAATTTTTACTGCAAAGGTTAAAAATAATAAACGTGAAAAATTGATAAGATTAATAATTATTTCAGACTATAAATATTAAAAATTCCAGTGAAATAAAATGTTTTTACTGAAATTACTAAAAATTTAACCGGACTTGACAGTAAAAATTAATTCAAGTACCGGAATTATCCACCGAGTTTGAGGCGGCGCTGCAATCGCTCTCGACTTATCAGCTGTATAAAAAATTACACATTTTGGTGATCAGTTGTTGCTCAATTACAGTTAATTCTACCAACACTTTTATACAATTATCATTCTAATTAAATTTTATCCAATTAGTTGAATATTATTTTTAAAAATGTACTTTAATGAAATTCGTTATTTTTTTTTACTATTAGCAATTATTCTATATATATTTTCAAGTGAACTAACCTTAAAAAGTAAATTGAATCTCAAAAATTAATTAAACATTCAATCTTATAAAACTAAAATCTTTTCCAAAATATAAAAGCTATAAAATTAATAATAATATTCCATTGATAATATGTCCGATAATAATTCTATTCCGTGTGAGGTAATTAAATATTTTTTTATTTTACCGATAGATTTTACTTTAATAAACTTTAGAAAATATTGCTGCTAATAAATAGCAAAGCGCTCTGGATTATAATACAGTCCGGTAATTTTTCTCGTGAATTTAACAATCAATTCTAAGCCTTTAATTTCTTTCCGTGCGTACTTAGAGTACTAAGTGCACATACACGTTGTAGATAGTATTTTATACGTGAAGTAGCATGGAGAAAATCGTCGGACGACGCCCTTTAGCTCGGAATCGAATAACCTCCAGTGACCTTTAACCCAGTTCTCATTCACCCGCGCACGCTTCGTCATACTCAAACGCTGGAAATATAGCCTTAGATATTCTGCCCAGGAATATACCAGCAAACTCTTATCGTTTCACTTAATTTATCATCCTCCAGACTCCAGTTTTGGTTCCAGTCTGAGTTAGCAAGGCAGTTTTGTCTGCGACTATCTGCATAGACAGCATTTCCTTGGCACGAACCTTGTCCAGACGTCCAGACCTCGCTTTTTTTCCTTTGTTTTCCCTCTGGGTCTTGTTTTAATTTTTTTTCGCGGTTATTGTTTTTGTTGGTAGTTCTGGCAAATCGTTGAAAGTAATAGTAATAGATATAAGTGTAGTTTAATGCTCGCTTTACTTACAAAAGAAAGTCTTGCTCCCAGCATGGATTGGCCCCTTTCACGGTAACCGTTGTTGATTTTACGTTTTGTAACTTTAACGTTACGTAAGTGTTGAATTGTTGTGCTGGAAAACGGAATTTTTAATTGTTAATTTTTTTTTTAGTCAAAAAAATTTTTTTTTTATCAAAGTAAGGTAAAGACCCCAATTATTAACACTAAGAGACAAAGTTATGATTCCATTTTTTTTTAAGCAATCAAATATCAATATCGTTGAATTTTGTTTGTGGTAACGTCTCAAGTAATGTTTTTACTAATCAATTTCATTTTTTAAAATGATAATCAGTGATATTTACTAATTAATTTTAAATAATTAAATAGAGTATCCGGATACACTGCTTGACAGGTTAAAAAACTGATTGATCTAATTATTGACATACCTTAGCCCCAATTATTGACACCTATACTGCGCACGCGTCGAATCATCTGCTTATTCTTATTTATCGAAACTTATTATTAAGTAATCAATATTATTAAAGTTTATTAATAATAATTTCCATGATGATTAATTACTTTTAAAAATATAAAAATTAATTTAAAAATAATTTATTGAATCAGAAGAGTTCAAACTCTTACAGTAAATTTTTTAGGATAAAGTAAAAAAAGGCGTGATAGCGCTGTCGAATGGCTGTCAATATGAGATTCAACTTAAAAATTATCAACTAGTTATTGACACACATTATTTAAATATTATAAAGGAAACAATTAATTTCGATTATTCAATTTTATAAATTTTTCATATATTGTTAATTAAAAAAAAGAGATCATATTATTAGACGAAGAAATTAATTTAAACTCATTTAAAAAAAATCCTTTTCTAACCAAAGTTGTTAAGAAAATAAACGTTCGTAAGATTTGATCTGGTGCTTTTATTTTTTAATAATTAATATTTAATATTTTGAATAGTAATTTTTTTCAATTTTTTAATTAATTAGAATTTAATAAAAATTTATATGATAGTTATTCTTATTACAGATAATTAAATATATTTAAAATTTAAGGTGTCAATATTTAAATTGTCAATAATTTGGGCTTTTACTTTATAAGGTTTCGGTTAAAATTTCTAGAAAAAATTTTTTTGAGACGTTACACCCCCTGACGTAAACTAGTCGCGACCTTGATGGAATCAAATATTTTTTAATATAAATTTTTTTTCAATAGATAAAATTCCAAATTTTGGACCAAATTTTTTTGCTAACTTCAATAATTTATATCTTCTTTTACGATCGACCTACCGGAGTTTTGCTAATATTTTTTGTAGGCAATTTCCCCGTGAAAAAAAAGTATAAAAAATATATTTTAAGTATACAAAAAATCTATAAAAAATATATTTATATATAAAAAATATGTATAGTAAATATATTTTTAATAACTAATTTTTGGCCGATTTTCATATATACTAAAATTGAATTTTGCGCGCGCAAGCACGCGTCTGAGTATGGCATTTGTCTATATTTTCATGCTCATGATATATTTTACAAATCACGTTACAAATAATTTGATACCACATACATTTCATCTCAATTTTATTATGGGATTTTATATATTTCAAATATATTTTATATATATTCAAAATATGTTTTTTTTTATATCTTTAGCTATGTATTTTTTATGTATTTTAAAATATATCTTGAATATATCTAAAATATATATGAAAATCGGCCAAAAGTTAGTTATTAAAAATATATTTAAAATATATTTTTTATATTTTTTTTTTTTCATAGAGGTTAAACGACCAATAAAAAAAGTCTCTTTGATTTTTTGATAAATTCACTCTTTCAGAAGTTATAGTAAGTTAAAGCCATAGATCGTAAATTTAAAAATTCTTTTTTTTAAACATAATAATTTTAGTTTTTTTTTTCTAGAACTTCATTTTAATAAACTTATATTAAATATTACAATTTTTACGACAAAAAAAAAAACTAATGAACTCTTACATTTACCTTGGACCCCAACGAATGCGGCCTTCTTAACTGAAAAATAAAAAAACAATTATTAAACTCTTTCTTTCTTTAATAAAAAAAAAAAAAAAAAAAGAGGAAAGAATGAAAAGTTTGTCGTATTGAAAAAGTTAACATCTATGCTACAATTCCTCGCAAAGCTAAACGGTAAATTTTGCTCTGGTAATTCAGATCAACAGATTGCGGAAAAACGTGACCAGATATTTTATTCAGGAAAAAGTTATAGTTAAAAAAATAAATAAAAAAATTTGCGGAAAAATAATAAATTTAGAATAGAATAGAATTTTAGGATGTATATACGTGACGTAACTTATTGATATAAATTTTGGCAACTGGTTTAGAGGAAACACGCTTTACAAAGTTGTTAAATATTCATCAGCATCAGCCGAGTGTATTTATTTATGTATTTATTTATATATTTATATAAAATATAGTTAAATAAATTAAACGTTGCGTGTCCACAGACGGAAAAGCTTCTGGATTTATATTTGTGAGTGACGGGATGAGTAAGGAGATTTATATCCAACATGACGAGGAGTTTATGGTGAAATTTTATCAACTCTCAACTTCCTGGGGTGGATATTGGATACCTGTTGAAGCTTTTACTTCTCTTTGAGTGATAAAAATCTCCCAGTATCTTCATGACGCGAATGAGGGGACTGTTAAATCAACAAGATAATAATAATAGTTTGAGGAGTAGAAGGAAAAATATTTATATCGAACCGGCCCAGCCCGAGTAAGATATAAGTTTTGTAATAAGTAACAAGTAAATTATACTCTAGATTAAAATGTCTACTTAATTTTACAAAGTTATTCTAGTTTATACCATCTATTTGAATTACAAGTTTGTGATTTAAATAAATACTCTTTTTATTTTTATACTTTTTAAAGAGGAAAATTTCACGGTCTTAAATTATTATTTTTAAAACTATTAATTATAATGTATGCTAATGAAAGAATTTTTTATTAAATTTGGGAAAAAATCACTTTTATTTTAAATTCCATGCAAGGAAGCTTAAAAAAGTAGTAAGTGTTTAAAATTGCCAAGTACTTTAAGTAATAATATTATTAATATTAAGTAATAATATTAAGCCAAGTATTAAAAATTTCTAAGTACATTTAGTGCTTTAAATTATCAAGTATACAAAACCTTAAAAATTGCAAAGTATTTAAATTACTATGTATTAAGCCAAGAACATAATTTATTAAGTAATAATAATAATAATATTTATTAATTGTTCTAGAATACATAGATCATTATTCATACAATAGGTTAGAAATATAGACTTTGATAAAAAAAAATAAAACATAAAAAATAGATTTTTTTTTTTTTGTTATTCGCACAGGCAAAAAGCTCTAAGTCGACAGCAGCATCGTATAAAATAAAAAAAGTATTTAATAGTACGGGCATCATGCCTATTTAAGATTTCATTTGCTTCAATTGTGTTGGAATTGTTGGATTTCAAATAGAAGAGTCTGTACGGGTTGTAGAGTGGGCAGTCGTTAATAAGATGTACCAGGTCATCTAAGCCACCGGTATTACACACTGGGCACTGTTGTCTCGGGTTGAATTTGTAACACATCTGATCCAGAATTAGATGGTGATAGTAGTTACTGGCAAGTCTAGATTGAAGGAACACCTTTAGCGCTTGAAAGTTGACTCTTCTGTTTAGAAACAAGGACCGTGATCCATCGAGAGGATTCTGGACTTTCAGTTGCAGGTATTGAGCATTTAATGCGTAATTTATTAAGTATCATAATATTAAATTGAAAAAAAAAAAAAAAAAAATTCTCGACTGGAGTGCAAATTTTTGTGGCTCAAGAAAATATTAAGAAAGATTGAAAATTTCTTTAATAAAGTCAAAGTTTCTTGAGACAAGAAAATTAATTTTTTGCTCTAAAATAACTAATGTTTTCCTTAAAATTATCTTGTTGCAAGAAGTTTGTTTTTTCAGTGTAAAGATTTCATGCATTACATCGAATATTAAAAATTGCCAAGTACGACAAGCATTAAAATTGCCAAGTACACTAAATATTGAAAATTGTCGAGTCTTTCGTAATAAATATTGCCAAGTACACAAAACATTAAAAATTGCGAAGTATCAAAAATTGTCAAGTATGTGAATTATCAAAATTTCTGTACATCGAGCCAGGTATCAAAAATTTCCAAGTACAATAAGCATTAAAAATTGCCAAGTACACAAAGAGTTTAAAATTGCCAAGTAGACTAAATATTGAAAATTGTCGAGTCTTTTAAGTATTAAAAATTTCCAAGTACACCCCAAGTGTTTTAAATTGACAAGTATACCGAACATTAAAAATTACCATTTATTGCCAAGTACATAATTTATTAAGTACACGTAGTATTGAAATTTCTATGCATTATACCGAGTATTAAAATTTGCCAAGTAGGCCAAGAGTTTGAAATTGCCAAGTACACAAAACTTTAAATAATTGGGAAGTATTAAAAATTTTCAAATATGTGAATTATTAAAATTTCGATATTTCAAGCCAAGTATTCAAAAGTATTCAAAAGTACAGTGAGTATTGAAAATTGCCAAGTACACTAAACATTGAAAATGGCCAAGTACACTAAACATTGAAAATTGCCAAGTACTTAAATTGTCATTTATTAAGCCAAGTACGTAATTAATTAAGTACACATAGTATTCA